TCTCTTTCTGCCCCCCAATCTCTTTGCTGCTCTCTTGCCCGCCTCCCTTCCCTTTCCTCCAAATCCCCCACTTGATCCTTTAGCCTGTCTTCCCAGTCACTCATATTGCCGGCCTGTCAGTCCTTGTGTGTCATTCCAGTCAACCTGTTCCCCTCTCTTCCTTTCCCTCGCTTCCCTTTCCTCCAGGTCTCCTACATGATTCTCCAGCGTGTCTCCCCAGTCACCCACTCAGTCGGCAACTGCCTGCCCAGTCACCCACCTTCCCCCTCTCCCCCCTCTCCCCACCTCCGCCCTTCCCTTTCCTCCAGGTCTCCTACATGATTCTGCAGCGTGTCTCCCCAGTCACCCACTCAGTCGGCAACTGCGTTAAGAGGGTCATCGTTATAGTCACATCTGTGCTCTTCTTTCGAACCCCCGTCTCCCCGATCAACGCCGTCGGTACGTGCTTCGTATATGCCAGCATTCGTTACAGTCACATCCATGGTCATCGTTATAGTCACATCTGTGCTCTTCTTCCGAACCCCCGTCTCCCCGATCAACGCCGTCTGTACGTGCTTCGTATATGCCAGCATTCGTTACAGTCACATCTGTGTTAAGGAGATCATTGTTGTAGTCACATCCTTGTTTATTCCTGAACCCATCAATGCCAATTCATTACAAGGGGGCAAGCGAACCCTCGTTATAGTCACATTTTGGTTGCGGAGGGCCTGTTTTAGAGTCGCATCTCTGATCCTCTTCCCGACCCTACCCAATCAACGATGCCAGTACGTGCACGCAAGAGGGCCAACAAGCCTCATTGTAGCGGCGTTTCTTGGTGGCACTAGACATTTACAAATGGAACTGCTTTGTCTTTGTTGTCCTTTCTTTCTTTCTCCCCCCCCCCCCCCCCGCCCAATCTTGCTGCTTGTAGGCACTGCGGTTGCCCTGGGTGGTGTGTTTGCATATTCTCGTGCCAAGTCCTCCAAGCCCAAGGCTGCATAGGGTCGACTGGCTTGGGTTTCAATAATAAAGCCTAGGTTGTTCCTGTTTGCGACGTAGTTTTTCCAGGCAGAAATTGTGTGTGTAGAGGGGGGTTTCTCCCTTATCCATGCGAGGAAGTTGTAGCTGCTGCTAGTACGGTAAGTAAAGACACTTAAAAACGAGCGTCGCCCTAAGGCATATCCTTATGCTTCTCCTTCAGTGGCCTATGCAAAGTGACCTGTGCATGTGTTAGTTTGGATGATGTCGTGTACCTGTGTCAATATTCAAATTATATACATGCACAGGACTGAAGGTTATGTACAACAGCATACATAGACCCTGTTTTCCACTGGAAAAATCTGCGTAAGCAACTATTGTTCCTTGGATGTATTTGGCGAGTTGATTATAACCGCTCATAGAAGGTGGGATTCGTGAGGGAGGTTCCAAATCTTCACCTTTCCTGAACACCGGTACCCTACCCAGCCATTCCAAAGAGTTCCCTGACCGAGTTAAAGCCCGCAGCTAAAATAGTGACCCCCCCCTTCTAGTTGGGTCCACTTGAAGACTCAAGTCTTTTTGTATCGTTTTGGGAAGTTGGAAGTCCCGTGATTTTGTTTTTTCGACCGTCAGACTGGTTTCGTAGTGGAGCAGGAACGAAAGTTCTTTCTCAATTGTGATTGGCAGCCTGATTCTCCCACATGTACATGTGCGAATTTGGCGCAAAGCTGTGCGACGTGCACTCCAGCATTCACTTGAGCCAATACTTCACCAAATTCGCATGTAGCAACATCTCACGCTAAATCCCAAGCAGACACACATGTACGTGATGAGAGTGGAAGTTTGTGAACGTGATGAGGGCTAGTAGATCTCTGAGCAATGTGCTGCCTTGGACTTGGGGCCTGGGAGAGGTGCGATAACGGGGAGTAGTGGAGAAAAAAGCACGAGGTGATGCGAATGAATAGAACGAAGGGAGATTGCAAGGGCGACGGGATGGGACGGGAGATTGCAAGGGCGTCGGGATGGGAAGGGGGATTGCAAGGGCGACGGGACAGGAAGGGAGATTGCAAGGGCGACGGGATGGGAAGGGATATTGCAAGGGCGACGGGATGGGAAGGGAGATTGCAAGGGCGACGGGATTTAGAAGGGAGATTTCAAGGGCGACGGGAGGGAGAGCGCAGAGGCGAAGGGAAAGGGATCACGAACACTTAGACGACGGGCATGGAGGGGCGACGGGAAGGAAGGGGGGGCATCGAAGGCAAGGGGAGAGAGGGGAGATCGTGAGGCGACGGGAAGGAACGGGGACATCGAAGGCGAGGGGAGAGAGGGGAGATCGTGAGGCGACGGGAAGGAACGGGGACATCGAAGGCGAGGGAACGGCGCCACGATAAACGAGGCAGCGGGCAGCGAGAGGAGATAACCGAGGCGATGGGTAGCGAGGGGAGATAAACGGGAGGGCTACGGAATGGACGACATGATCGCGATGCGACGGGACGGACGGCGCGACTGATATCACAACGGGAGGATGAGCGAGATGGGATGGGAGGGGGGGGAGAGGACGATCGAAACGGCAGAAGAAGTACGCAACCATGCCCTCTAGTTACTACGCGTCTAAATTGCGGTAACAGCGACCTAATTGCAGAGTTATATGGCTACAGAAGCTACGCATAACTAAGGAGCAGGTGCAAATGAGCGGAAGAAGTAGTAGTTCACCCAATCCCAAGTTGAAAGGAAAGCTGGCCCCAGATCGCTTGTTGCGCGGCTTCAAAAAATGAGATGCGACACCTGACGTGCTGGGTTGGTTATTTTTTTGGTTGGCGGGAACCAATCAGATGTGTTCGATTTGTATAACCGCTCTCTTTGAAACAGTGCATACTTGTCAGTTTGCCCCCAAAATTTTAGGGTGCATTCTTGGATCGTGTCTGACATGAGGTCAGACACGAAGTGTTGTTGAGGAAGACCCGAAGTGGCCTCGAACTCTGGCAAATCAATGTTCGGAAGACCCGAAGTGGGCCACTTCGGGTCTTCCGAACCTCCACCCAAACCTCCACTTCGTGTCTGACACGAGGTAGGAATGCACCCTTAGCACTCTTTCAAGCTGGTCCTGGGGTCACTATTTTAGCATATCTCACTTTGTTGAATTGAATCTCGTAAATGCAAAGTTTTATATTACACTGTTGATAGGCTCCTGCCGTGGTGGGTTTCTACAAACGGATAGTTTAGTATACCCGAGGGTTTGCAAGAATGACATCCTGGTGCATCGCGCCGCATGTACACCGGACCCGACCTTCATAAACCCGACATCATACAGATTGGACTCGTGAAGGCGGATCTGTTTTTTAGCCTGGCTTTCGACAATACAATTGATGCCTGTTTGAGCCCCTCCCGGTTGCCTTGTGAAGGGGGCGTATAAGCTGTATCGTGAATTTCGTATAAGTTTCGTCAATTCGCAGCTAGCTAAAAAGGATTCGCAGGTGCTTATATTAAAGCCAGGATCTCAAGTAAGAGAATTGGCCTTCAATTGCAAAACACTTGCAGCGCTTGTTACCCTATTTTTGTAGGCGAATTGACTGGCTGGTTAGGAAAGTGAGCGTGCGGCACACCCACGATTTTGCCCCTAGAGCAAACGCAAAACATTTTGCTGGTACATGAGATTGTTGTGTGTGACGAGAAATTGCAGGCATTGGAGCTTCGTCACCGAACCAGTTTCCGAGCCTTGCTTGGTTCGGACTGAACTTGCGATTTGTCTTTACTTCGCACCCCTCGCTTCACACCTCGTCAGATTGTTCACCTCGCTAACCAATCGCAGCCCAGCTCCCCTCACCAACTGCAAAACAATTGAACTACTTGAGATCCTGGCTTTAAGTATCTGTAACCTTATCCGTTGACATTTTGACTTCAGTCTCTTCAGTGTGACTTCGGTCTGTTCGTTACTATTGGTCCATAACCACGCGACGCGCTTGTATCGTGGGTGCAACAGGCTAGGGAAAAGACCTCGGGTGCAGCGTTTCCATCCGGTGCAGGGCAAGCGTGCAATGGTTGGGCATCATGTGTACTGCACCTAGGTCTAGCCTGTTTTAACCTCGACTGCCACCTGTAGAAACTGTCAGGCGGACACTTGGGACCCACCTGCTCCCAAAAGGGAACGTCTTCCACCTGAGATACCACCAAGAACCATGTCCGTCCTTTTGTGAAAATAGAATGCGGAACTGGGCGGTATTGCCGTCCAAACATCAAGGTGTGGGGATCGGCTTGGGATGAAGGGAGACACTGGATTCTGTGCGTGAGGCTTGTCTGCTTTGGTTTGGTGGCCTGGTCGTTGGGGTCTGGTTTGGAATCCAGCGAGCAGTAGGTTGGCGAACAATTCCAGCCTTGAAATTTTGAGGCTCTGATAACCCTTGAGTGTTTGGGCAGACAGAAGGAGGACCATATTTTTACGGAAAGACTCCTAAGTCGCTTATCTGCTAGTGTGTGGGTATCAGTATCTGCTACAATGGGCATCTGCTTATTTCCATTGCGGACCTATTTGATTGCAATCTGAGTCAACCTTTCTGTCGGGTGTGAGTGTGGATACAATTGCGGTCGCAAAGCTTGTCGCTTCTTCCCATAGTGCATCTTGGCGCGACGTGATGCCCCCCCCATTCTTCTCATCTCACAGCTTTGACATTGCGGTCAGATTTCGTTGACATTTTCGGCTTCATCGGGTGAAACTGGAAGTTGTTTTCTCCACTTGCTGTCAGTTTAGGGCTACATTGTACAGAAAACATGTAATAATCTCCTAATTTGCTTGGTTTGCCTTCATGTTCCAAAACGCTCGCTCGCCCTACATCCTGAATGTCTGTCCTGCGACGCGACTTCGGAGTCGCGATTCTCTAACCGTTTCGTTTTCTCCAATCCAAACTTTTCCATTTCCAGGCTGCGACCTTCATCAGGTTGCTGAATTTCGAACATAAAAGCACTGCGGAGCTCACTTCATTTCTCATCCTCAGTGACATCTTTCCATTTTCCAAGAACCGTCATCAAAGGAGTTACGTCTTTCCGCCATGGCTTCCAGCTCCGTGTTTGCCGCGGTGCTACTTCTCTCCCTTTCTATACCCTTCGTTCTTGCTGGAAACGCTGCTGGCGCGGAGCAATCGTCTCAGTCCAACTACGAATATGACGCCAACGGCAACATTATCCTCTCTTCTGCTGGGAACAACAACCAGAACGGCAACGGGAAGGGTACATCCGCGGACGTGATCGACTGGTACAACGACCAGGAGTACCCGACCTGCCCGCTTAAAGCCTGCCCGCCTTTCAAGCACTATTGCTCGGGCGGCATGTGCAACGACACGGCCGGCATCCTCGGCCGCTGGAGGGTGAGCGTCAACTCTCGAATTCCAGATTTGCCAATTCCGATCCGGATTTGCGTATTACAATTCTGTCGATCCGCTCTCTTCACACATCTCAGCTCGTTTGTCCAGTTTCTCGCGTCACGGTAATATCTAAATTCTCCCAATTTCCGGTTGTGTTTGCCTGCCCTGACCGTCACCGTGCCGCGCAGCTCCCCGAGCAGTCGTCGCTCGTGTGTCCGCCGGGGCGCGCCAACCCGAAGCCCAACAACGAGTGGTGCATCGGGGAGCTCACGCCGTCGCAGTGCTGCAAGGCGTGCTCCGACAGCAAGGAGCCGTGTGCCATGTGGCAGCACTACATTGGGTGAGTAAATTCGCGGGTTTCTTCCGCGGCTCGGCATGTTGCTTCGACGGAGGATGCGGGATCGGCATTGATGCGGTCCTAATTCTCTTGCTCTGCTGTGCGCGCTGTTTCGCGGCAACCAAATTAATATTTCTCTATTCCTCGCTTTGTCCCTTTTCTTATCTTGTCCTTTTGCAGAACCGTGAACCCGTCCGGCAAGTGCCTCAAGTGCGGAATCTGCTGGCTGTACCCGCCCGGCACGGCGCCGCGGTGCGAGACGCAGCTGGATAACAACAACGGCTACCGCATCAAGTACAACTGCTCGCGCATCGGCGGCAGCTGCCCCTACACCAAGAACGACCCGCACTTCCAGGGCGCGCAGGGCACGCGCTTCGAGTTCAATGGCGCTCCGGAGAAGACTTTCTGTCTGCTGACCGATCGCAACGTGCACGTGAACATGCAGATGCGCGGATACTACGACACGCGCACCGTCGGTGCAACGGTTCTGCGCAATGGGAAGGCTGTGCGCACGTGGATCCGCGCGCTCGGCTTCGTGTGGCGCGCGGCGGCTGGGGAGGCGGAACACAAGTTCCGCCTTGTGGCGCGCACGGGGAAGAAGCAGGAGCGCGGGGACGGGTTCCTGGAGCTGGCGGAGATCGACGGGAAGGCCCTTCCGCGCATGACCAAGGAAAGGGAGACTCTCTCGCTCCCCGGAGGCCTCGCCTTCACTTATGTCGGGGTCGAATTCGGCGGGTTCGTGAAGGACGTGTACCGTGTGACTATCGCGGGGCTTCTGGACATGGAGATCAAGCTGCGCGTCGCGCACCCTCTGCTGCAAACACCTGACGACGCCGAGGCGCACATCAACGTGGCGTTCGACGGCGTGGAGGCGACGGAGCAGGTCCACGGGATCATCGGGCAGACGTACCGCGAGGGCCGCGAGAAGCGCGCGATGGATTACAACACGCTCGCGCACGCGCTCGGGCACCCCATCGCGGCGGACGCGGCGGAAGGCGCGGGGTTCCTGGACGGCAAGACCGGCGACTACGAGTCGTCGTCCGTCCTCGCTGCGGATTGCAGATTCTCCGCGTTCAGCGGGAAGGCGCTGCCGCTGACAGAGTAGAATTGACTGAATTGACAGCTATAATCGAACGGGTCTCACCGGACTGGTCTTTCGTTGTATTGTATGACGTCACCTTCCTGATCTCCTCGTTTTTCTTCTGCTGGTGGGCTGGTTCTCGTCTCTCTTTCGGTGGGCTGCTCTTCCTCCTCTCTGCTGCTGTTCCCTCGGTGGGCTGCGTCCGTTCTCCTCATTGCTAGGTGGGCTCAGCCCAGGCTGCGCCCGTGTTTCTCTTCTCGATCAGCTGCTTCCGCACAACCTCATTTGATTGATCCCTGCCTGTCCTGGTGGGCTGTGTCTTCTGCTGTGGGCTGATTTGTCTTTCCAAAAGGAAAGCCGTTGTTCGGCAACTGATATTGTGCCTCATTGTTGGGTCACCTTGATGTGTAATAAAACGCCCCGTTTCTCAGCTACTTGTCGTATCTCTCAGAGTCCGCTGAATTATGAACCAATCTGAGATTGACGCTCACGCACTCTGCCTAGTAGGGTAGCAATGCCTATGGGAGAGAAGAGACGATACTAGAAAAGGTTGGAGCTGCTTATTTTATTTCTCCATTCAGAAAGAAAAGGGCTCTCGTGTCGTTGCGCCACTGTCCCTCCAAGTTCCGCCGGATTTTCAGCTGCCTCCCCTGCAAATTTGCATTCGATTTCGGAACCTCTCTCTCACTCGCTTCGCATTCGTGTCGCGTTCACATCGGTGTGCTTGCGGCACGGGAACCAAAGCCTTTCCACATTTTCCTGCAAATTGGCACACAAACACACAGCGAAAACAGGTTACTCTCCCGAACCTTTGTAAGGTTTCCCGCCTGTAGGGTAACACGCGATATCTTTCGTTAATACTCTATCTCTTCCCACCTCGAAGCAGCTCCGCTACGGCAAGTTGTCGCGACTGAATCCCCCTCCTGCTTGAACGGTTTCACGAAATCAGTACAGCTCGTTGATTCGCACAGCGTGCTCTGTCGCAGAATGGTTGGGTTCTTGCGAGGTGATTTGCGAAAAGCGTCGGGACTACTCTTGTAACCAGGTTGAACGCATTTCAGTAAGATGCGGTGCTAGTGATACTCGATAGTGCCAGCTTGCAACACCCGCTAAAATCGCATTTTCCTCTGCAGAAACGGTGGGTTACATTGCACAGCTGATCAAATTAGGGGACGACGACATTTTCAATCAGCATTGTGTGATTCCCCATCACCATTTGCAATCTGCATGCTTAGGTGCCACAATCTAGAAGCGCATCTCATCCAACGCCTCTCCAACCGTTCCGTAAACCACGTGTCATGAGCTCATTTGTTCTGAGCAAACCGTTCGCGACCTGCCATGCGCGAGCTGCTGTGTGCCATGCCGCGAGACTCGCCGTGAACTACGCCGTGGAATGCGGAAGCGTGGTGACGAGCAATGTCAGGGTTTGCAGCAGCAGAGCTAGCAGCGACATCAGCAGCAGCCGCAGAAGCACGGACGGTAGCAGAACGGGGAGCGGTAGCAGCAGCAACATCGCCAGTGCCAGGAGAAACAGCAGCGGTAACAGCAGCGGCAGCAGCGGTAGCAACAGTAACAGCAGCAGGAGCAGCAGAACAGGAAGAGGTACCAGTGGCAAGAACAGGCGGCAGACAGAACGCCTTGAAACTGATCCTGGAGTCACTTCCCCCAGACCTACCTCCCCCAGATCTACCTCCCCCTCCACTGAATCCGCCTCCTTTCCGCCACAGTCCCCTTCCGCCCCCGCCCCGCCCGTCTTCCCACTCTTCTCTTCCCCCTTGCCCGCGGTGCTCCCCCCGCCGCCCGCCCTCCCCCACCTGCTTCCCAGGCAGCAGCAGCGCCTGGCGCTCTACCTCGACCTGCGTTTGGACTGGAACCAGGTGATTTTCCAGGTGGTATTTCAGGTGATTTAAGCAGCAATCGCTCGCCTTCTTGACTGGTTCGAAGCGGGTCTGCAAGGGGCAGGGTTAGAAGCTGGGGTAAGGGTTTAGGTTCAGGGTTTGTATACAGGGTTTCGGGTTTATACCTGGAATGAGCGCTTTCCCCTCCCATATTCCCCCCTTCTGCCGACCCCCACCTTTTTTCTCTCCCACCCCCCCGCCCCCCGCCCCTCCCCTCCATCAGCGGATGAACCTGACAGCAGTGTCTAGTCGCAGAGGCAGAGCAGCGCCACATTCCCGACTCGCTCTCACTCATTCGGCCTTCCCACTCCCAACCTCCCTCTCCCGCCCCCACCCCCACACACTTTCCACCCTCCTAGCAGCGCGTGAACCTGACAGCAGTCACTAGTCGCACAGAGGCAGAGCAGCGCCACATAGCTGACCCTCTAACGCTCATTCTCCCTTCCCACTCCCACCCCTCCCTCCCCTCCCCCCACCCCCCCCTCCCCCCCCCCCACACACACTTTCCATTCCACCCCCCATCAGCGCATGAACCTGACAGCAGTCACTAGTCGCGCAGAAGCAGAGCAGCGCCACATTGCCGACTCTCTAACGCTCATCCCTGTTATCCTGGCCCTCACCGCACCACCGCTCTCAACCGTGCCACTTGCTGCTGCACTGCTCCCCACCGCGCCCCATCCGACCACACCCCTCCCTACCGAACCACTCGCTACCGCATCAATTCCCACCGAACCACTCCCCGCCGTACCACTCTCCACCGCACCTCCTGCTTCCGAGCCCCTTCTAGACCCCCCCTCTGTCGCACCCTCCCCTGCCGTGCCACATGGCACGCTGCGATTGGTGGATGTGGGCACGGGAGCAGGGCTGCCAGGTGTCGTGCTGGCAGTGGCCCAGCCCACGTGGCATGTCACTCTCGTTGAGTCTCTAAACAAGAGATGCGATTTCCTGTCGCATGTGGTGCAGCGGTTGGGACTCAATAATGTGCAAGTGGTGTGTGGGAGAGCAGAGGTGAGCGTCCGCTGGGGCGCTGTTCCTGGCAGTGAATGACACAGCACGTAAAAAAGAAAGAGTTTTGAGACGTCTCAAAACACAGCACAGCCCACGTGGCATGTCACTCTGATGGAATCTCTAAACAAGAGATGCGATTTTCTCTCGCATCTGGTGCAGTGGTTGGGACTGCAGAATGTGCAAGTGGTGTGTGGGAGAGCAGAGGTGAGTGCGTGTTTGACCAACTGTTACACACAGCCCACGTGGCACGTGACTCTGGTGGAATCTCTAAACAAGAGATGCGATTTCCTGTCGCATGTGGTGCAGCGGTTGGGACTCAATAATGTTCAAGTGGTGTGTGGGAGAGCAGAGGTGAGAGAGTGTTTGCCCACTGTTGGACAGCCCACGCGGCATGTGACTCTGGTTGAGTCTCTGAACAAAAGATGCGACTTTCTCTCGCATGTGGTGCAGCGTTTGGCCCTGCGGAATGTGCAAGTGGCCCTGGGAAGGCCTTTGCTGGCCGAATAGTAGACTGAGTACTATAGATCGCTACTCTTAGTAGGCTTGCTGCGTTTCGAAACCAACTTTTTTAAACGTTTGGGCCTGCGGAATGTGCAAGTAGTGTGTGGGAGAGCAGAGGAGAGAGTGTAGGGGGGAAGAGGTGAGAGCATGGGTACTAAGCTTACCAGCCATGGGACAGCCCAGCCCACATGGCATGGCACGTAATTCTGGCGATGCGAGTATCTGTCTCTAAACTCTAAACCTTAAACCCCTCTCCGTCCACCTTTCTTTCCCACTGCGCTGCTACAGGAGGTGGGGAGGGATCCGGTGCACAGGGGGGCGTACGACCTGGCTGTAGCGCGGGCTGTAGCAGAGATGAGAGTGCTCAGTGAGTCAAGAGGCAGGTTGTAGCGCAGCTTGTAGCACGGGTGGGGAGGGATCCGGTTCACAGGGAGGCGTACGACCAGGCTGTAGCGCGGGCTGTAGCAGAGATGAGAGTGCTCAGTGAGTCAGATAATCTAACGTGCAGTAGTATCACTGGCTGTAGCGTGGGCTGTAGTGCGGGCTGTAGCACAGGCTGTGGCAGAGATGAGAATGAACAGTAACTGAATCATCAGACAGGCTGTAGCTCGGGTGGGTGTTGAGAGGGTGCTCATCACGGTTAGGTCAAGAGGGTGCCGTCAGCAGTCAGCTTCTCTGTTGATTTCACCTGAACAGACACCTGACACTTTCCTCTCTCTTCACCGTGCTGTGTCTTCAGATGAGCTCTGTCTGCCTCTGGTTCGAGTGGGAGGTGCCTTCATAGCTGCCAAGGGGCCCAACCCTCAGGTTAGTTTTCAGGTGTCACTTCAGGTGCCTGGATTGCGAAAAGCCAGCCCTCATGTTAGTTCTCAGGTGCCGCTTCAGGTGCTTAGATGGCAAGTAGCCGAACCCTCAGGTACGTCTTGATGGCGTTTCACGTGCTCTTTGTAGATGACCTCTCCTCTTTGCATTCCCAGCCAGGATTCCTCTCCTTACGGCGTTGAGAGGCATCTCAAAACTCATCACCCCGTGTATTCCTCTGTGCACCTCACAGGATGAGGTGGCAGCAGCATCTAACTCTGCTTCCCTGCTCAGTGCTCAACTCGTACGAATCTATGAAGGTGGGTTCTGCCACATACCACCCTCTTGGACTTGGCCCCTCACACTTTGCTTTTGGGAGTTCTCACAAGCTTCCCTGCTCAGTGCTGCACATGCTCGAATCTCTGAGGGTGGGTGGGTACTACCACAAAAACCCCTCGGTCCGTTGTGTCTCTTTCTCCCCCGTCTTTCTTCTGCGTTTCTTCCTTTTAGTTCCTGTTTTTCTCTGTCTGTTCACATATCATCGTGGTACGCCTGGTCTGTCTGTTTCAAACCCACTTTGCATTTCATCTCTTCTCCTACGGCTTTTTCTCCTCTCCTCCCCTCATCCCACCGCAGTTGCATCGTCAAATTCCAACGGCCAGCGCACAGCGGTCATCTACAAGAAGGTTGAGCCAACTGCTTCCAAGTACCCGAGGCGACCTGGAATGCCCTCCAAACGGCCGCTGTGATTCACAGTGGAAAAAAAACAGACAAATTCAGGGCTGTAGACGGCGCTGTGTTGACCATATGAAAGATGTTAAAACCGGAGTCCCAAACAGCCCAAAACTGCCTCAAACTTCCTAACTTTGGTTGGTTGTGACCCAGTAGATACTGACAAACTTCCTAACTTCGAAAATCGTCGGGACAATTTCCGCCACGCGAAATTACTGGACGATAGCAGTGACGATTTCGTAAACAGATTTCGCGCCCATCTGAAACTACCTGCGAACGAATTTTGACGTTGCATTCCAGATCTGGTTACACTCGCGAGGTTTTCATACTTTGCGACCCACAACCACCGATTTCGCCAACACCCTGGTTCGCGAGCCAGTCGCGTTTCTAAGTTTGAGAGTCTTGGACCTCCGGTTTGAAGGACGCGTTCCCTCCGGCGGATCAGTGGAGAATCGACGGTTACACCGAACCTAATGTATCCATAAAAGCACAACCAAGAGTGCATGTGGTAAAAGGAAATGGTGCAGTTCTACAGGTTTTTTACATCTACAGCAGACACATCTATGGGGGTAGAAAGAAACCGAAGTCAATGGCTAATTGCTACAGGTTTTTTACAAATAGATCTACAGAACCACTAAAAGTCAATCTACTGTAAATATTTTATATACGTCTATGTCAGGGGCAGCATGAGCAGCTGTACTCCAAAACCAAGCAGCAAGAAGCTGCCAAACAAACAAAAAAAACACAAGGAAAGAAACCAAGCAAAAGTGCTTTCAGAAGCACCTCTCTCTCTACCGTAGCATAACCTGTAGCATTATTAGCGCTGCCAGTTAATGGCTATAAGCAGCTGAAACCTGCCCCGTGGTGTACCTGTATATGTGGATGCTACGATATGGCAGCTCTCCACAGCAGAGCGCTCTACTACTAGTACTACTGTGGATAGCTTGACTGCTGGTAACAACATTCCCCTCAGGTGCCTTCCCCTCAGGTGCCTTCCCCTCAGGTGCCTTCCCCTCAGGTGCCTTCCCCTCAGGTGCCTTTTCCTCAGGTGCCTTCCCCTCAGGTTCCTTCTCCACAGGTGTCTTTGCCTCAGGTGCCTTCTCCTCAGGTGTCTCTTCCTCAGGTGCCTTCTCCTCAGGTGTCTTCTCCTCAGGTGCCTTCCCCTCAGGTGCCTTCTCCTCAGGTGTCTTTTCCTCAGGTGTCTTCCCCTCAGGTGCTTTCACCTCAGGTGCTTTCTGCTCAGGTGATTTCACCTCAGGTGCTTTCTCCTCAGGTGCTTTCACCTCAGGTGCTTTCTCCTCAGGTGCCTTCTCCTCAGGTGCATTTTCCTCAGGTGCCTTTTCCTGAGGTGCCTTCACAGACTCAGGTAATTCTTCAGGTCGAATCTCCTTCCCCCCTGCAGCTGCGAGATCTGGTGCCTTACCCTCGTCAGCTTCAGGTGTTTACTCAGGAGCAGATGCGCATGAGGACTGAGCTTCTTTGCTCTGCACCAGCTGCTTTCCAGGCACTGACTGAGTCTCAGGCTCAGGTCGTTCCTCAGGTGCAGGTGCCTTTTCAGGTGCCTGTCCAGAGACCTTCTCCTTACCAGTTGCATCTTCCCTCCCAACTGCAGGTGCTCCTTCAGGTGCTTTTTCAGGTGCTTTCTCAGATGCACTCTCCTCCACACTTCCAGCAACCTCCTCAGCTCCTCCTCCCCTGGCCATAACAATCGCCTCCCCACCTGCAGGCCTTTTCCCAGATGAACCCGCCTGTTCTGCGCCCATTTGTGACGGCCCTTCCTTCCCAGCTTCTTCCTTTTCACCTCCAACCATTGTCGCACCTCTTGCTGCTGCTTCTGTTCCACCTTCTAGCACTGCTGCATCCACCTTCCCACCTACATGCTCCTTCTCGGATGAACCCTCCTGTTCTGAGTCCAGTAGTTTCGCACCTTCCTTCAATGCTTCTCGCTCCTCACCTCCAACCACCTTCGCACCTCCAGCTGCTGTTTCTGTTCCTCCTCCTCTCACTGCTGCAATCGACTTCCCACCTGCGGGCTCATTCTCAAATGATTGCACCTGTTCTGGGTCCAGCTGTGCCGCACCCTCCTTCCCCGCTTCCCCCTTCGCACCTCTCACTGCTGCATCCACCTTCCCACCTGCGGGCTCATTCTCAAATGATTGCACCTGTTCTGGGTCCAGCTGTGCCGCACCTTCCTTCCCTACTGCCTTTCCCTTCGCACCTCCAACCACCTTCTCCGGTCCAACCATCATCTCACCTCCACCTTCTCTCACTGCAGCAGTCACCTCTTCAGATGCTGTCACCTCGCCAGTTGCAGGCTCAATTTCAGATGAACCCGCCTGCTCTGGGTCCTCTTGGTTCACACCCTCCGTCCCTGCTCCTCCCTTCGCACCTCCAACCACCTTCTCCGGTCTAACCATTATCGCACCTCCACCTTCTCTCACTGCTGCAACCACCTTCCCACCTGCAGGCTGCTTCTTAAACGAGCCCGCCTGTTCTGGGTTCAGTTGTTTCCCACCTTCCTTCCCTTCTTCTCCCTTCTCCCCTCCAATCATCTCCGCACCTCCTGCTGCTGCCTCTATACCACCACCTTCTCTCGCTGCTGCAACCACCTTCCCACCTGCAGGCTGCTTCTTAAACGAGCCCGCCTGTTCTGGGTCCTCTTGTTCCGCACCTTCCTTCCCTTCTGCTTCTCCCTTCACACCTCCAACCACCTTCTCTGTTCCAACCATTTTCTCATCTCCACCTCCCACTGCTGCAACCACCTTCCCACCTGCAGACTCCTCCACAAATAAGCCCGCCTGTTCTGGGTCAGGCTGTTTCGCACCTTCCTTCTCTGCTTCTCTCCTCTCACCTCCAACCATCTTCACAGCTTCACCCACTCTCACTGCTGCAGTCATCTTGCTACCAGCATACCCCTTCTCAGATAAACCTGCCTGTTCAGAGTCCACCTGCGCCGCACCCTCCTTCCCTGCTTCTTCCTTCGCACCTCCAGCCTCCTTCGCAGCTTCACCCACTCTCACTGCTGCAACCATCTTGCTACCAGCAGACTCCCTCTCAGTTGAATCCACCCGTTCAGAGTCCAGCGGTGCTGCACCCTCCTTCTCTGCCTCTCCCTTCACACCTCCAGCCTCCTTCACAGCTTCAATCACCACATCAGATGCAGCCATCTTGCTACCGGCAGACGCCTTCTCAGATGAACCTGCCTGTTCAGAGTCCACCTGCGCCGCACCCTCTGCTTCTTCCTTCTCACCTCCATCCACCTTTGTTGCTGCAGCCATCTTGCTACCAGCAGACCCCTTCTCAGATGCACCTGCCTGTTCAGAATCAAGCTGTGCCACACCCTCCTTCCCTGCTTCTTCCTTCGCACCTCCAGCCTCCTTCACAGCTTCACCCACTCTCACTGCTGCAGCCATCTTGCTACCGGTATACTCCTTTTCAGATGCACCTGCCTGTTCAGAGTCCACCTGCGCCGCACCCTCTGCTTCTTCCTGCTCCTCAGATGAACCTGCCTGTTTAGAGCCAAGCTGTGCCGCACCCTCCTTCCCTGCTTCTTTCTTCGCACCACCAGCAGGAGCAGCAGGAGGAGCAGAAGCGGCAGGAGCAGAAAGAGCAGGAAGAGCAGAAACAGCAGCAGGAGCAGAAGCAGAAGCAGCAGCAGGAGCAGGCGAAGCAGCAGCAGCAGGTGCAGGAGAAGGAGCAGGAGGAGCAGGAGCAGCAACAGGAGCAGTAGCAGCAGGAAGTGCAGGGGGAGCAGACACAGCAGGAGGCGCAGAACCAGGAGGAGCAGAACCAGGAGGAGCAGCAGAGGCAGAATTAGAGACAGCAACAGGGGCTGAAATAGGAGCAGGAGAAGACGCAGCAGCAGAAGCGGAAGCAGCAGCAGGAGCAAGAGCAGCAACTTCAGGAGAAGGAGCAGGAGCAGCCGGAGGAGCAGCAGGAGGAGCAGCAGGAGGAGCAGCAGGAGGAGCAGCAAGAGGAGCAGCAGGAGGAGCAGCAGGGGCAACAAGAGGAACAGCAGCGCCAAGACCTGCGCCCATCTCTATCAACCGTCGCTGCTCCCTGCCACCCTCCACCTCTGCTGCCTTCTCTCCTCCTTCCACCTCCTTTTGTCCCCATCCTTTCCTCCCTTTCTCCACCTCCGTTTCTCCCTCCCCTTTCCTTCCCTCCTCCACCTCCTTTTGTCCCTCTCCTTTCCTTCCTTCCTCCACTTCCTCCTTTTGTTCCTCTCCCTTGCATCCCTCCTTCACCTCCTCCTTTTCTCCCTCCCCCTTACTTTCCTCCTTCACCTCCTCCATTTCTCCCTCTCCCTTCCTCCCCTCCTCCACGTTCGTTCCTTCCTCCCCTTCCTCTTCCTTCCCTGCATCACCGTCCTTCCCTGGTAACTTCTCAATCTCTCTTCTCTCTGCCGGCACTCCAACTATTCCCTCAGGTAATACCCTTTCCTTCTCCTCCCCTGTGTTCTTCCCTTCCTTCTTCTCTGTTTCCTTCTCCCCTAACTTCTCCTCCCCCATCTCCTCCTCCCCCATCTCCTCCTCCCCTGCTCTCGCCTCCCCAGATTTCTCCTGTCCTGTCTTCTCCTCACCTGTTCCCACCTTCCCTGCTTCCACCTCGCCTGCCTTTCCCCCACTGTCTTCTTCTTTTAGAACCTCTGTGCTAGGCACCACTGAAAAATCCACACCACTCCTCTGCACACCACTCCTCTGCACACCACTCCTCTGCACACCACTCCTCTGCACACCAGTCCTCTGCACCAAACCCGTAACAAACTCTTTCCCTGCATCACAGCGTGCCATCTCCCCACCCTCCTGCTCCTTCTCCCCTCCTACCCTTGCGCCACCCACCTCCTCTTTCTCTGCCCCCAATACCACCCTCTCAACCTGACAAGCCTCCCCAGTACCCTCTCCCTCCTCTTTCCTCGATCCGCTCTCTTCCGCCTCTCTCCTCTTCCCCCTCTCTCCCTCTTCCTTCTCCCCACCTTCTTCCCCCTCTTTCCTCTTCCCACTCTCGCCCTCCTCCCTAATCTTCTCCTCTTCACTCCCCTCTCCCCTCTCCTTGACCTCACCCACCATCTCAGTCATTCCACCTTCTCCCTTCCCTTCTCCCTTCCCTTCTCCCTTCCCTTCTCCCTTCCCTTCTTCCTTCCCTTCTTCCTTCCCTTCTCCCTTCCCTTCTCCCATCCCTTCTCCCTCCACACTCACACCTACTCTCCGCACTCCCCTCTCCTCATTCCCTCCCCTCTCTTCCTTCCCTACTGTTACCTCCATATCTCCCTTCTTCCCTTCTGTCTCCTTCCCTCCCCTTTCCTCCTTACCTAATCTCTCATCCTTTTCACCCCTCTCCTTCTCTCCACTCTCCTCCTGCCCTTCCCTCTCCTCCTTCTCTACTATTATATCGTTCCCAGTCTCCTCTCCCCTCACTTCCTTCCCTCCACTCTCCTCCTTCCCTTCCCTCTCCTCCTTCCCTCCCTTCTTTTCCTTCCCTACTATCACGTTCCCTACTGTCTCCTCCTTCTCTACCCTCACTTCCGTCCCTCCTTTCTCCTCCTTCCCTCCCCTCTCTTCCTTCGCTACTGCCTCCTTACCTGATGCCTCCTTCTCTTCCTTCCCTACTATCTCCTGCTCTCTCCGCTCTTCCTTCCCTTCTCTCTCCTCCTTATCCACTTTCTCCTTCCCTCCATTCCCCTTCCCTCCGTCATCCCTTCCGCATTCCTCCGCCAACCCCTTAGCCGGTTCCTCCAACCCCTTAGTCGGTCCCTCCAACCCCTTAGCCGGTTCCTCCAACCCCCTAGCCGCTTCCTCCAACCCCCTAGCCGGTTCCTCCACCAACCCCTCACCCGCCTCTAACCCCTTAGTCGGCTCCACTAACCCATTAGCCGGTTCCTCTAACCCCTTAGCCGGTTCCTCCAACCCCTTAGCCGGTTCCTCTAACCCCTTAGCCGGTTCCTCCAACCCCTTAGCCGGTTCCTCTAACCCCTTAGCCGGTTCCTCTAACCCCTTAGCCGGTTCCTCTAACCCCTTAGCCGGTTCCTCCAACCCCTTAGCCGGTTCCTCTAACCCCTTAGCCGGTTCCTCCAACCCCTTAGCCGGTTCCTCTAACCCCTTAGCCGGTTCCTCCAACCCCTTAGCCGGTTCCTCCAACCCCTTAGCTGGCTCCTCTAACCCCCTAGCCGGTTCCTCCAGGTCTAGCCATACTCTTTTCCGTCCTGACAATTTCACTTCCTCTGCAGCCTCCTCTGCTCCAACCGCCTCAACAGCTTTCTCTGCTACAGCCCCCTCTGCAGCCTTGGGCCCCTCAACTGCCTTGTCTGCTACAGCCCCCTCTGCAATCTTCTCTGCAACAGCCCCCTCTCCAGTCTTTTCTGCTACAATCTCCTGTGCTACGATCTCCTGTGCTACAATCTCCTGTGCTACAATCTCCTGTGCTACAATCTCCTGTGCTACGGCGGCCTGTGGTGTTCCAGCCTGTGGTGCTACAGTATGTGGTGCAACAGCCTGCGGTGCTACAGCCTGTGGTGCTACAGCCTGTGGTGCTACAGCCCGTGGTGCAGCCCCTTGTGCCACAACCGCCTGTGCTACAGCCTGTGGTGCTACAGCATGTTGAGCTACAGTATGTGGTGCTACAGCCTGTGGTGCTACAGCCTGTGGTGCTGCCTGTTGTACTACAGTCTGCGGTGCTACAGCCTCCTCTGCTACAACCAGTGGTGCTACAGCCTCCTCTGCTACAACCAGTGGTGCTACAGCCTCCTCTGCTACAACCAGTGGTGCTACAGCCTCCCCTGCAACAGCCTGCAGTGCTACAGCCTCCTCTGCTACAGCCTGTCCTGCAACAGCCTGCTGTGCTACAGCCTGAGACGCCTGGGCTACTGGCAGTGGCCTTTTCAACAACTCAATTTCCATCTCCTTCTCCCTCTCCTTCTCCTTATCCTCCTCCTTCTCCTTCTCCTTCTCCCCCTCCCCTTCCTCCTCTTTCTTCTTCTGTTCCCCTCTTTCCTCTTCCCTCCTCTTCGCAACCACTCCCTCCTCCATCCCACCCTCAGGTGCCTTTCTCTTGCGCCTCCCCTCGCCCGTAGTCCCCACCTGCTCCTGAGATAACTGTGGATCCACCTGAGACGCAACCTGAGAGGCGACCTGAGAACCAGCATGAGGGACAACCTGGGGGGAAGCCTGAGGGGAGACCTGAGGGGCAACCTGAGAGGGAACCTGAGGGGCGACCTGAGAGGGAACCTGAAACGCGACCTGAGGTGTCACTGCATGCACCACTGCTACAGTGGCTTCCAAACCAGCCACAGCTTTAGCTCCTGCCAACTGCTTGTGAAGCTCCTCCTGCTCCTCCTGCTCCAGCTGCACCGGTGCGTTTCTCCCATAACTGCCTATCCTGCCAACAGCAGCACTCCCCACAAGCTCTGCTTTAGTGACCTGCTCTTGCACCTGCGCCTGCCCCTCCTTCTCACTTCCTGCCCCTGCCCCTGCCCCTGCCCCTTCTTCTGCTCCTGCCCCAACTCCTGTCCCTGCCGCTCCTGCCCCTGCTGATCCTGCCACTGCTGCTCCTGTCCCTGCTGCCCCTGCCCCTGCTGCCCCTGCCCCTGATGCTCCTGCCCCTGCCCCTGCTGCCTCTGTTTTCGCTGCCCCTGCTCCTGTCTCTACCCCAACTCCTGCCTTCACAGGATTGATCAGCACACCTCTCCCTGCTCCAACCCCAGATGCCACTACAGCACTCCCTGACCCTGCGGTTGCTGCTGCCCCTGCTGCTACACCTGCTGCTGCTGCTGCTGCAGTTGCTGCGGCTACACCCTCTGCTGCAAGCAGGGGCGGTTTTGACCCAGCGGTAGCAGCAGCAGATGGAGCACAGGCAGGGGAGAACACAGGAGCGACAGCAACAGAAGAACCACTAGCTTCAGCCGCTGTTGTTGTGGCTGTTGCAGCAGCAGCAACAGCAGCTGTAGCTATACCAGCAGCAGCAGCTGTAGCCATACCAGCAGGAATAGCTGTAGCTGTAGCAGCAACAATACCTAGAGCTTTACCAGCAGCTGTAGCTGATCCAGCAGCAGCAGGGCCAGTGGCAGAAACTCTGTTCAACCCTTCTTCACTCCTTCCTTCACCCACCCCACCACCCGAAACCGCATCCTCTCTTCCTGCTGGTGCCTCTTTCCCACTCCCCTCGTCTGCCAAAGGCCCTCCCAGCTTCTCCACCTGCTGCTGTCGCTCTCTCCCTACCTCCTTCTCGCCTTCCCCTACCTCTTCTCTTCCTGCTGGTGCTACTTTCCCACTCCCCTCGTCTGCCAAAGGCCCTCCCAGCTTCCCCACCTGCTGCTGTCGCCCACCCCCCACCTCCTTCTCGCCTCCCCCCACCTCCTCTCTTCCTCCTGTTTCCCCTTTTCCCCCCAACTCCCCCTTCCCTTCCGCCTCTCCCTTCCCCCCCACCTCTCCCTTTCCCCTGACCTCTTCCTTTTCCCCCATCTCCCCACGTTCTTCCCCCTCCACCTCCTCCTCCCCCCCTGCCTCCGGACCAGCATTTAAATCCAAGTCTAGCCATCCCCGTCCCCCTCCTCCTCCTCCTGAGTCCCCACCACCGCCCCCTTTCTCCGAATGTTCCTGCACTTTCGGAGAGTCATCTGGCGGGGTGTTGACTGGGGGAGGTGCTATCTGTTCCTGATTTAGATCGGCGATTAAGGAGGCGGGTTTAGCTGCCACTGCCACTGCGACTGCAGCAGCAGCAGAAGCAGGGGCGGCAGGAATAGAAGGAGAAGCAGCAATAGGAGGAGCAGCAGCAGAAGAAGGAACAGCAGGAATAGCAGAGGGAGTAGCAAGAGAGGACGTGACAGTAACAGGAGGTGCAGCAACAGGAGGCATGCCCGGGGCAGCAGGAGGGGGCTGATTCATATCATGCCGTGACACAAACGAGGGGAGAGAAGGAATAGAGGGGAGAGACGGGAGAGAGGCAATAGAGGGGAGAGAGGAGGGGAGAGGGGGGTTATGGAGGTCAGGGCCAGACGCAGGGCGGGAAAGAGGGGTTTTTTGCAGGGAGGGTTGGGCAGAGGGGTGGGCGGAGGGGTGGGCGAAGAGGGAAGGGTTTGATCCGCGGCGGGGGATGGGGAAGGCAGCAGAGAGCTGCGGCGCTTGCTGTGGGTGTTGCAGCTGATGCTGCTGATGCTGTGGCTGAGCAAACTTTCCCTGCTGCTGCTGCTGCTGCTGCTGTTGCAGGGATGAGAGTTGCTGCTGTGCCGACTTTCCCTGAGCCCATGGCGACTGTACCCTAGTGGGCTCGTTCCTCGGACCCATAGGCGCTGCCGCTGAAGCAGTGGAAGCAGCAGCAGCAGCAGCAGCCGTGGCAGCACTGCTGCCCTTGCTACCACCAGCAGCAGCAGCACCATCACCAGCACCACCAGCACCTGCAGCACCAACACCAGCACCAGCAGCACCGGCGGCGGCGGCGGCGGCAGCTGCAGCAACGGCGGCGAATGGCTGTGTGACACCTGGCACTGGCAGGTGCTGCTTCTGAAGTAGTGCCTGCAGGGACTGGAGGGTACGGGTGGTGGAGTGAGGGGAGTGTAGGGAATGTGTGGGGGAGTGCAAGGAATGTGCGAAGAGATTTTTAAGTCAATTCAAAAAAGACACCTGGTGCTGGCTGGCTGGTAGGTGCTGCTTCTGAAGTAGGGCCTGTAGGGACTGGAGGGTACGGGTGGTGGAGTGAGGGGAGAGCAGAAAATGTGAGGGGGAGTGTGTGCGGTGTGGAGGGTGTGGGGAGTGATTTTTTAGTCGACACTAAAAAGGCACCTGGCATTGGCAGGAGCTGCTTCTGAAGTAGGGCCTGTAGGGACTGGCGGAGACGGGTTGAGTGCAGGGAGTGTGGGGAGTGTGGGGAGTGCAGGAAATGTGGCGAAGTGATTTTGAAGTCGAAAAGAGACACCGGGCGCTGGCTGGCGGGCAGGAGCTGCTTCTGGAGTAGAGCCTGTAGTAGGGACTGGTGGGGACGGGTGGAGCGCAGGGAGTGTGGGGAGTGTGGGGAGTGTGGGGAGTGTGGAGAGTGTTGCGGCGATTAAGAGCGTGTGAGGAGGGACAGGGATCAAGGGAAACCTGGCATTGGCAGGAGCTGCTTCTGAAGTAGGGCCTGTAGGGACTGGAGGGGACGGGTGGAGCGCAGGCAGTGTGGGGAGTGTTGCAGCCATAAAGAGCGTGTGGGGAGTGTGGGGAATGTGGGCAGGGGTGGTAATTACAAGAGTGTGAGGAGGGGCAAGAGGCAGGACGAACAGCGGGAGCAGCGGAACGTGTTTGACCAATGTGTGCATTCAATCACCCCAACAGCACCACTCGCACATACCAGTGTTTCACCAATACTGCCTTTTCACCCCTGCACTGCCACTCACATGTGCCGGGTTCTGACTACTGCTACGTGTATGAAGAAGTGTTTTGAGACGTCTCCTGACTACTTCATACAGGGGTTCATACACCTCTTCATTCATACACCTCTTCATTCATACACCTCTTCACGTGATAAATGTGTTGTTTTGAGACGTCTCAAAACAACACTTTTATCACGTGGCTACTTCATACAGGGGTTCATACACCTCTTCATACACATGTGTCAGGTTCTGACCACTGCTGGCAGCATTCGCTCCTGAGCTTGCAGCTGCACCGGGGAGGGTTAAAGCCCGAGTTTTGAGTCGAATCAAAAGCAGTACTCACATTCGTTAAGTTCTGACCACCGCTGCTTGCAGCATTCGCTCCTGAGCTTGCAGCTGCAGCGGGGTTAAAGCCTGCCCCTCGAGAGGACGGGCGAAAGGGGAGCGGGGGAGCAGGAGAACCAGTAAGAGGAGGAATATTTCCGCCTCGGCTGCTCCTTCCACCTCCTCCTGCCCCTCCTCCTGCTCCTCCTCCTGCTCCTCCTCCTGCTCCTCCTCCTGCTCCCCCTCCTACTGCTGACGGGGTGCTCGTTACAGGAACGCTGGTTTGGGCGAGGACGGACTGGGAGAGCCCCGTTTGTAGCACACCTGATAGCGGCACGCCTGCGTGGGCTAGCTTGGCCAGGAGGGACGCTGGAGGCTGTGTGACTGTAGGGAGGGAGGAGGAGGCGAAGAGGGCGCTAAGGCTGTTCAGAGCACCCATGCTGCTGCTGCTGTTACCTAAGCTGCTAGAAGCGGACATGCTATTATTCAGGGTGTTTGGTCCGCTCATGCCCATGCTACCCATGCTGCCCATGCTGTTGATAGCACCACTACTACCCATGCTACCGATGCTGTTAAGCCCACTCATCCCTATGCTACCTATGCTGCTAGTCCCACTGATACCCATGCTATCCATGTTAACGCCACTCAGACCCCCGCCAGAACCAAGCACAGCAGCAGCTGCAGCGTTAGCAGCAGAAGTAGCACCAACTGTAGCACCTGCAACGGCTGTAGCAGCTGTAGCGGCTGTAGCGGGTGCTGTTCCAGCCATGCCCGGCAGTCTCTGCAACAGCTGGCTGATTGAAGAGGCTCCAGGGGCTAAATTCGCAGCTACAGCCGCTGCTGCTAGGCTGGCTGGTAGCGCCGCCCCTGCCAGCCCACCCGCTCTCCCTGCTACAGTCCCTGCCGCCCCTCCTGCTACAGTCCCTGTCGCCCCTCCTGCTACAGTCCCTGCCGCCCCTCCTGCTACAGTCCCTGTCGCCCCTCCTGCTACAACCCGAGTCGCCCCCCCTGCTGCTGCAGTTGCACTGGTTGCTACAGCTGCAGCTGTACCTGCTGCTACAGCTGCAGAGAGGGAGGGAGAGGGGGATGATCCTGGTGTGGAAAGATGCGGGCTGTTGCTGGGAGGGAATAAAGGAGGGGACACAGACGTAGGAGCAGCAGAAGAGGGCTGGGCAGCAGCAGCAGAGGCAGCGGCAGAGGCAGAAGCAGAAGCAGAAGCAGAGGCAGCAGCAACAGCAGCAGCAGAAGCAGAAGAAGCAGCAGCCGCAGAGGCGGAGGAGGCGGCCATGAGAGCAGAGAGCACACCGCTGGGGAGGGGACCTGAGGAAGACGGGAACGGGCCTCCTGCGGGAAGCATGGACGGCCGGGGAAGGTGCGTGAATTGAGAGAGTGTGGTGGGGTGGCGGGGATTCGTGGCGTGTGATGGAATGCTGCTGCTGGTAGTGCTGTTAGTGGTGAAATTTGTTGGCATGCCGCTTGTGCTGAAACGGGATGGGACGGTGGCAGAAGTGGCATGGGCCGGAGCAGCGGCCGTGAAAGGCTGTGGTACTGCTGGTGGTGGTGCTGCTGCTGCTGCTGATGATGATGCCGGTGATGCAACTGGATGTGCGGATGGGGGCAGGGGGGCAGGAGAGTGGTGGCCTACAGATGTTGCAAGGCCTGCTGCTACTGAGCCTGCTGGGGGCCGCATTTGAGAATTCTCAAAAGCAACACCTACAGATGTTGCAAGGCCTGCTGCTGCTGAGCCTGCTGGGGGGCGAATCTGCTGCTGGGAGAAACGAGGAGGGACATGTTGCTCGTGTTGTTGCGGCTGCTTCTGCTGCTGATTCTGTTGTGATGGTTGTTGCTGCTGGTGCTGGTGATGCTGCTGTTGCTGCTGTTGTGACTGCTGTAGTGACGGGGCCTGTTGCGACAACTGCTGCTGGTGTTGCTGCTGCTGTTGCCGTTGCTGCTGTTGCTGCTGCTGCTGCTCCTGTTGCTGCGGCTGCTGCTGCTGCTGCTGCATCTGGAGCTGTCGTTGCTGCTGTTGCTGCAACTGCTGCTGGTTCTGCTGCAGCATCTGCAGTTGCTGCTGCATCTGCATCTGCAGCTGAGGTGGCAGAGCCTGCTGCAGAAACGCCAGCTGGCCCAATACCTGCTGCTGCTGACTCACCCCCTGCTGACTCAGCAGCTGCTCTGCCAGCTTGCCAAACAATGGGTGAGACGCCAACCCGGGGGGGAGCAACGGCATGTTGCCAGGTGGCAGGCTCCCACTGGCTGATGATCTTACTGTAGGTGCTGCCCCTGCTGGTCTGGACTGTAGCTGAGAGGGTAATTGCTGCACATGTTGTTGTTGCTGCTGCTGCTGTTGCTGCTGCTGCTGCTGCTGCTGCTGCTGCTGCTGCTGCTGCTGATGTGCCTGGTGTTGCTGTTCCTGTTGCCGCTGCTGGTGCTGTTGCTGTTGTTGCTGCTGCCCTTGCCGCTGCTGTTGTTGCTGCTGCTGCTGTTGCTGCTGCTGCTGTTGCTGCCGCTGCTGTAGCTGCTGGTGTTGCCACTGCTGTTGCTGCTGCTGTTGTTGTTGCAGCTGCTGCTGCCGCTGCTGTTGCAGCTGGTGTTGCTGCTGTTGCTGCGCCTGAGCTTGCACATGCAAGAAAGGAGAGGCGGAGTGCATGGGGTGAAACGAGACGGCTGGCACAGTTCCACCTGCTCCAGCCGCCCCACCTGGCCCACCTGCTACAGCCGCTCCTGCTGCTACAGCTGCTCTATTTGCTTGAGGAGGAGGGGAGGGAGACGGCTGCAATGGCTCATCTCCAAACCCTGGCCCATCATTCAAATCAAAGTCCAAAAACCGATTCTGTGATGCTGGTGGGGAAGTGGGGGCGGCAGGGGCAGCAACGGGAGCCGAGGGAGCAGCAGGCGCACCGTCAGCAGACTGCCTATTAGAGACTGAAGCAGCAGCAGCAGCAGCGCCCGCAGCAGGAGGTGGATGAGGAGGAAGAAACTCCGCCTCTTCCTCCTCCGCCTCCTCTGCAAAGTTCAGGTCAAACCCTCTAGGCGCAGGGGCAGGGGCAGGGGCAGGCGCAGGGGCGTGGGAAGAGACAGGGGCAGGTGCAGGGGCAGCAGCAGGAGGAGAGGTGGCTGCTGGACCGGTTGTAGCACCATCTGTAGCGGCAGCTGTAGCGTCTTCAGCAGTGTCCTCAGCGACGTTTAGGTCAAAGTCAAACAGAATGCGAGGCCGCTTCTCAGCCGGCTTCTCCTCCGGCTGCTTCTGCTGCTGCGGCTGCTGCTGCTGCGGTTGCTGCTGTTGCTGCTGTTGCTGCTGCTGCTGCTGCTGCTGCTGCTGCTGCTGCTGCTGCTGCAGAGCTTTGTCAGGAGATTTCTTTGCTCTGCTTGCCTTCCTCTTTGTCCCACCAGCCCCCCCTGTAGCCGCACCGGCCTTCGCCCCATGAGCCTGCCCCTGCTTCTCTGGCAACTGCGCTGCCTTCTGTGCTTGTGCCTGTGACTGCAACCCTCCTTGTGCTTGTGACTGTAACGAGTGCAGCCCCTGCTGCGAATGTGATTGTAACGAGTGGAGCCCCTGTTGTACCTGTACCTGTGATGCTTTCTGCCCATGTGATTGTACGCCTTTTTGTGACTGTAACGACCCTTTCTGTGCTTGTAGTGGCAGGCCCTTGTGCAGCTGTGACTGTGACACTAACGGGGACTGCTGCGGCTGCTGCTGCGGCTGTTTTGAAGACCCGGCTTGGCCGTGCATCAGAGCCTGCTGCAGCTGCTGCAACCCAAGCACCCCATCCTCCTCACCCGCCTCCTCCCCTTTGGTCAAACCCACTCCCTCCTGCACCTGCTGCTGCTGCTGCTGCTGCTGCTGCTTCAACTGCTGTTGCTTTAACAGTTGCTGTTGCTTTAACAGTTGCTGTTGCTGGTGCATCAGCTGCTGCTGCTGACGAGCCTTCGCCTCCTTCCTTTCAGTTGCCTGTTGCTTCTGCAGCCGCCGCAGCGGAATATCCTCCTGCTTTTCCTCCTTCTCCTGCTTGCCCTGCTTCTTTGGTGTTCCCACCTTCCCACCCGCCTCCCCTGCACCGTCCTGCTTCTCCTCTTTCGCTACCTCAACCGCAGCCCCTGCCCCAGCTCCTGCTGCTGCTACTGCTGCTGCTGCTCCTCCTCCCACTGCTGGTGCTGCTACTCCTGCTGCTCCTGCTGCTCCAGCTGCTCCTGTTGACACTCCAGTAACTCCTCCCCCTCCTTCTCCTCCTGCTCCTCCTGCTCCTGCTCCTGCTGCTGCTGACCCATCCTTGGCTTTAACCAACCCACGTGGTTTCCCCACTCCTCCAGCCTTCCGTGCCCCTTCCCCTCCAGCCTTCGACACCCCTGCTCCGGTCCTCTTCCTTGTCACTTTCACCTTCTCCCCCCCTTCCTTCTTCTCTCCTCCCTCTTCCTTCCTCTCCCCTGCTTCCTTCCTACCCCCGTCCACTGCCCTCTCCCCTTCTTCCCTCTTCTTCCCACTCCCTTTCCCCCTCTTACCCCCCACTCCCCCACTCCCCACACTGTCAGTATCCCCATCACCACACACCTTCAGCCGCTTAGCAACAGGCATCCTCACCTGCTTCTCCCCTTCCGCCTCTCCAGCTCCCCCCGCTCCCTCTGCCTCTCTCCCTTCCGCACTCCCTGCCCCCGCGCCTGCCCCAGAGCCTACCGCAATATCTGATCCGGCCACCCATGCCCCCTCGCTCTTCTCCCTCTCAATCTCAGCAGCAAGAGCCGCCCGCCAGGGACTTTGCAAGGCGGCAGGGAGAGAAGGAGCAGACAGGGAGGAGCGGTGGGAGAGAGGAGGGGACGACAGGGGGGAAGGGTGCGAGGGGAGCGCCGAGGACAGGGAAGCAGCGTGCAGTGCAGCACTGGCTGCAGCTGCTGCAGCAGCAGCAGAGGCGAGAGCAGAGGCCGTGGGAATGGTATCAGAGCGACTGGATCTGGAAATCAGTTGCCCGTTTTGCCGGCCCTTGCCCTGCCACTTACCAGACGCCAAAACTGCTGCCACACTCAACTCCTCTTCATCCTCTGAATCTGCTGCCCCTGCCCCTGCCCCTGCCCCTGCTCCTGCTTCTGGTTTCACAGCTGCGTCTGCAACCCCTGCTGCTGCTGCTGCTGCTGCTGCTTCCCCAGCTGCTGCTGCCCCTCCTGAAGCCAAACCTACCTCCCCCTTCACATCTGCCACTGTCCCGTCCTCCAGTCTCCCTCTGCTGCCCAGGTTACCATCAGTGAACCCCCCCTCCCCTTCGTCCTTCGCTTCTGCAGCTTTCAGAAGGCATTCAATCGCTAGCTGATCTGCACTTGGCCCATCCTCCACGTCCCCTCCCGTGCCCCCTCCTATGCTCTTTCCCATGCCTCCACCCGTGCTGCCACTTCCTATCCCTACCATCCCTCCCGTCTCTCCCGACTCCTCCATCATTCCTCTCTCTTGCCCGACCCTTGACTCCCCATCCCTGCTCGCCCGCCCACTCACCTTCTCACTCAAACGCCCAGTCAGGCCCCCAAACCCTAATTTTCTGCCCCCGCCACCACTCCCCTCAGCGCCTCCCCCAGATGGCACCTCCCCCGGATCAGCCCGCTCAGCACCCGCCACGCTCATCAGCGACGCCAGCACTGTAGCAGTCTCGGTGGGCGGCGGATCCTTGTCCGCATCTGCACTGTTGCAGTTGCCGCCGCCCGCCAGCCCTCGAGAATCAGAGGCATTTTCTCTCACCCCTTGGGGTTCACTGGGTGTAACAGCTCTGCTTACCCCACACTCATCCATACCACCAGACTCAGTAGCAAGAACAGCAGCAGGACCTGCAGCGGGAACAACAGCAGGAGTAGCAGCATCAGCCGCAGCAGCAGCAGCACCACCACCACCACTATCACCAGCAGCTGCTGCAGTTGCAGCTCCAGAAGCAACGGGAACATCTGCAGCAGCAGTAGCAGGCGTAGCACCGTCACCCACACCTCTCAACCCACTCGCAATCTCACTCAACCCCTTGGGACTCCTCCTTTCTGTTTCACCCCCGTCCCCCTCGGAAACGGCAGGAGAGGCACCCCTAGAACCCCCCATGGGCAGCCAAGGAACAGGGGACCGCCTCCCCTTGGGGATCCGAGGGAGCAAAGGAGAGGAGGGAGGAGGGGCGCGAGGAGGGGAGGAGAGAGAGGAGAGAGAGGACGTGAGGGGGTGGAGTGTGGGCTCGTGGGTGGAGTGAGGGGGGGAGGAAGGGAGGGTGCTGGGGCGGGAAGCTTCCATGACTGAGGCAACGGCAGCCATCTTGACTGCCTTGACTTTCTTGACTGGCCGGTGGGAGAGTGGCGAGGGGATGACGGTGCCCTTTATAATCACAGCCGATCGCCTGCCTGTGACTATGCCTGGAGGGACGGGAAGAAAAAGCCGAGGCGAGAGAGAAGAGAACGTTTGTAAGAGGAACTGTAGGGAAGGCAGTAGGGGAGCCCTGGCACAACGGTGGTAAGAAAAGGGATAGACAGGAGGAGACGGGTTGGGGGAGACCGGAGGCAAAAGTGGTGCATAGTGGGAGGGAGTGAGAGAAGGCACAAACACAGAAACAAGAAAATAAAAAGAAAACAATTTTAACAGTCAGCAGGACACTAAGTGGAACTAACAGGGTAAACAACCACTATCATTATGATATAATGAACTGGAAAAAAAAAAAACATAAATAAACAAAAAACAATCACCACACGCACACACACACACACACACACACACACACACACACACACACACACACACACACACACACGCACGTCTCCTACCATAATCAGAAAACCAACACACTCACTTGAGCCAGTGGGGGCACGGGGCCGATCGCTGTCCGACCCTCTTCTTCTGGGCGGCAGATAGTCCGAGAACTGCCGCCCTCCACCAGTTGCCATCGCCACGTCAGCCCTCTGCCCTCCTCCACTCCCAGGGCCAGGATCGCTCTCCCTCTCTCTCACACCCTCCCTCTCTCTCACACCCTCCGTTTCTCTCCCCGCCTCCCTTTCTCTCCCCCCGTCTCTTTCTCTCACTCCCTCTCTTCCCTTCCTCTGCTCACTTTCCTTCGCGCCCTCAAACTCACCACGCCCCTCCACAGGACCATTCCCAGAAGCTTCCCGCTCCTTGCACTCAGCACCCAATCTCTCTTGCTCCCTCCTCCCACCCCAACCCTTCCCTGCCCCTCCTGACACCTCTGCAGCATTCCCCTCGCTCATCCGATCTCCTGTTAGTGTCTGCTCGCCACTAACAGGAGGACTCGCAGCTTGGTTCTCAGCATTCCTCCTGCCCTGACGCTCCAGGGATTTACTCTCAGAAGCAGCCCCACTTGCTGCTCCCCCCAGATCTGTCACACCATTTTTTTCCTCCTCCGCCTTTTCCTCCTCCTCTTTCCCACGTTTGTTCACAGAAAATCTTACAATTAGCCTTCTCTCGTCCCCACCACCAACTTCTGCCCTCTCCTCCTGCTCCCCCTGCTGCTGCTGCTGCTGCTGCTGCTGCTCCGTTTTCCCCTCCTGCTCTCCCTGCTGCTGCTTCAGCCCCTTACCATCAGAACCTTTTTCCCTGCCACTTACCTCTTCCCGCCCATCTCCCGTCCCTCTCCCTGCACCTTCCTTCAGTGTCTCGCCCGTAACAGCACCCTCCTTCTCTAATGGCCCTGCAACGGCTGTCTCTGCTAAAAAGCCTATCAAGTCTTTCCCTGATTCTCCTCCTCCCCCTAATCCCCCTAATCCTCCTACTCCTACTCCTTCTTCCCCCTTCAAGCCCCCTTCCTGTGTCACCATCCCCTGCTCTCCTGCCCCACCGCCCTTATCTGTCCCTGCCCCTGCCCCTGCCCGCGTCTCTGCTCCCGTTTCTTCTTTTGCCTTTTCCCCTGCTACCTCCTGTCGGCCTCCCCCACTCCTTCTCCCACTACCCACGTCACCAGAATCTTGCCTTGCGTCCCCACCATCACGACCACCACCAGAATCAGCGCCACCAGCAGCACCAGCACCACCAGCAGCACCAGCACCACCAGAACCACCACCGACAACCGCGCCAGCACTTTTAATCTCTCCCCCCATCTCATCATCACCCCGTTCCCCATCCCTCCCCGCCTCCCCCTGTTGCTTACTCCTCTCCTCCTTTTCACTTCCTGCCACCCCACCTGCAGCCCCAACCCCACTCCCTCCTGCAACCCCCCCACCTCCTGCTGCTCCCACAGCCGCCCCCTCAGCAAGCAAGGCACTTGCGGCAGAGTCACCACCCACGCACTCTCGCCCTGCAACTGCCCCATCCAACGCACTCTCGGCCATGCCCTTGACAAGCAAATCTGCCTTGCTCTTTGTATCTCGATCTGCCTTGTGCTTCGTATCACACTCTGCCTTGCTGTTCGTATCTTGCTCTGCCCTGGACCCATCCCTATCCGCCCGCCCTTCTCCTTCTTCTGGCTTCCCTGTCTCTCCAGACACCCTCTGTGCGCCTCCTTGCCCTCCTGCGCCCTCCCCACCCTCCACTCGCTCTGCTGGACTGCCTCCTTCCTCCTTCCTTCCCTTGTCTTTCTCCTTGTCCTTCCGGTGCTCCCTCTCTTTCTCCTTCTCCTTCTCCTTCTCCCTCTCCTTCTCCTTATCCTTGTCCTTATCCTTATCCTTCTCCTTCTTCTCTTTATCCCTCTCCTTCTCCCTCTCCTTTTCTTTCCTATCCTTTCTGTCCTTCCCCTTCTCTTTCTTCCCCTCCTTACCCTCCTTACCCTCCCTATGCTTATGCTTACTCCTCTTAGACTCCCTATCCCTATCCTTCGACCCTCTCTCCTTCTCCTTCCCTTTCTCCCTATCCTTCTCCCTCTCCCTCTTCCTCCCATGCTCCCTATCCCTCTCCACCTCCCGCCCCTCACTCTCTTTCTCCCCTTTCTTCTCCCTCCCCTTCCCATCCACCCCACTCTTCCTCTCCCCATCCTCCTCCCCACGCCCCTCACCCTCCTTCTCCCCTTTCTTCTCCTTTCCCTTCCTCCCCTTCTCCTCCTCCTCCCTCCGACTCCCACTAGACGCCTTCTCGCTGCTGCTGCGCATAGGGGAACTCGCAACTTGACGGCCCCCCACCCCACCGGCTGGGCTAACAGCAGGGCTCTTTACAGGTACTGGGATCTTCACCACTAGCCGATTTATTGTCGCAGACTCTCCTTTTTCTGCTGCTTCAGAACCTGCGGCAACATCAGCAGCTGCAGCGGCAGGAGGAGGAGAAGGAGCAGTGGCAGCAGCAGCAGCAACAGCAGCCACGGTTTCTGATTTACCCCCTTCTTCTCCAACCACACGAGCACCAGCACCATCATTCCCAGCTGCCCCTGCACCATCCTCTGATCCGACCCCACCTCTCGTTCCATTCAGTGTTTCCTCCAAGCCCGACTCTGTTTCCTTGACACCACTAGCTCCTTCGCCCCCCTCTCTCCTCCCCGCGAATTCAGCCCCTTTCTCCGCCTTCTCCCCACGCTCGTTCTCTCCGTCTTCCCCCTCCACCCCTTCGCCTTCGTTTGCCGTTCCCTCCTCAGCCAACCGCGGTCTCTCCGCCTCCCCTGGTGAGAATCTTCTGGCCTCCACCTCCCTTTCCTCCTTCCCTTCCTTATCCTCCTTTCCATCCTCTTGATCCTTCCCCTCCTTTCCTTCCTTCCCCTCCCTCCTTTCCCTCCGCTTCTCCTTCTCCTCATTCTCCGTCTCTTGCGGAGGCACAGCCTCTCCCTGCGGTTTGCTCGAACCAGCTCGCTCCTGCAGCCTCCCTTGCCCATCAGACGACTCAGCGGCAACAGAACCCACAGCAGACGCGGCAGCACCATCTCTTTCCGCTGATCTTTCTGCTTTTGACGGCTCACGGCCGGCCACAACGCCCTCCTCTTTCAGAACCCCTTTCCCTGGTTTGCTCCCCGTCCCCGCTTTCTTCCCCTCTTTTTCCTTCTCCTTCTCCTTCTCCATCTCTTTCTCCTTCTTCTCCTTCTCCTTCTTCTCCTCCTTCTCCTTCTCCTTCTCCTTCTCCCTCTCTCTCTCCTCCTCTGCTTGCAATGACCCACTTCTTTGTTCCTCCCTCTCCTCTCTCTTCTTCTCTTCTCCCACTTCCTGCTCCCGAGCATCTCCCTTCCCCTCTCCTCCCACCCCAGTAGCCCTTCCCTCCGCCCGTTCCGTTCCCTTTCCTTTGCCTGCCGAACCTACTCCTTTCGGACTCACTATCTTACCTCCACTCCCACCCGCTTTCTGTAACCCACCCGCGTGACCCTTCTGGTTACCACTTCTCAGGCTACCCGGCGAAACCTGCGACTCCCCCCTGCCCTTGGGACTGCCCCCCGGAACGGACAAGGGGGAAGGTGGCGGCCGCCCCCCTTCCCCCGCTCCGCCTCCCCCTCGCCCCCTCCCCGCCCCCGGCGTCCCACCGAGGTCTCCCCCGTCCCCTGCCGAGCCACTAGGTTTGGCAGCCCGAAGTTGTCCCGAGCCTACCGTGTGCAGGGTTGGTGAAGACGCAGGGGAGGAAACAGCGGAAGGTCGCAGGGGTGATGCGGCCACAGGTGTGACTATAACGGGTGCCCCTTTTTTCACTCCTGCCCCCCCTGTCCCTGCTTCTGCTCCTGAAGCTGCTGTCCCTCCACTTGCTGCTGTACCTACGTTTGCAGCGGCTCCCCCTCCCCCTGCACTTCCCCCTGCGCTTCCCCCTGCACTCCCCCCTGCGCTTCCCCCTCCCCCTGCGCTCTTCCGCCCCATGTTCTCCGCGAGCGTCTCGTCCACGCACTTCTTCCAAACCTCCACCAACCGCTTTGCGCGCCTCTGCACCTCCGCGTTCCGCTGGCTGCGTAGCTGGTTCACCGATTTGCCCACCACGCAGCTCTTAAGCGCCTCGAGATCCACCGGCAATCGCGCTAACGCGCGGAGAAGCGCCAATAAGAGGTCGTCTAGCGCGGCCTGATCGACTGTATCCCCCCCTCTGCCGCTTCCGCCGCCGCCGCTGCCGCTGCTGGTGGTGTTCCCGTGGCTGTATTTGCCCTTGTGCGTTTCCTGCAGCCATTCGTCTAGGGTTTTCAGGCCCCCTTTTGCGATGAAATGCGACAGGCACGACTCCTCGTCCGTGGCTGCGACAGCGTGAGCGACCGCGCGACGACGTGCGACGGCGTCGGCGAAACTGAGCTTCCGTCGCCCGTCGCTCTTGTCGGAGTTCACAAGCAAGAGAAGCGACTCCACGGCTTTAAGATTCGGCAAACCACCTCCCGGTTTCGAGCAAACCGCATTAATGTCCGCGAGAAGCGTTGAAAGATGCTTGTCGAGCGGAGGCGAAGGATCGTGATGTGAAGTTCGATGCGCATCCTGCGAAGCTCTTGGTCCGGGATCACTACTATGAGTCCTCTGCCCCGCGTGTCCCGCGTTTCCCGCGTGTCCCGCGTTTCCCGCGTGTCCCGCGCTTCCTGCGTTTCCCGCGTGTCCTGCGTCGTGTCCATGATGGGATCTCTGCCCATGCGGAACGTGAGGAGCAGTCGACATTAACGATGCGAGGGGACGGGTTGGGCCGCCATGGCCGTCGCTGTCCCTCTCCCTGTGCGACCGATGCCGCTCCTTCCCCGTGTTCTCATCGTCGTCCCCCTCGCCCTGCCGTTGTTTTCCGCTCGGCATCCCGAACAACCGTGGCAGTGCAAATGTTACCCAACCGCGAGGACTGATGAATGCGTAGGTTGGGATTATCAGTTAACCGCAGGATTGTCTGGTATTACGAACAGAAACTGTTCCTCTAATAACTAGCCTCATAGCATGGAGGATCTATAGACTTCTTTATTCGCTAGAATCGTGACGCCTGAGAAGTGGCGGACGGAAAGATCTTGAGTCCAACCAGCTGCTTGGAAGAAAAAAAAGGGAAAAGTGGAAAAGGAGAGAATGCAACGGATGCTATTCAGAAGCTAGATGACAATAAAGAAAAAAACAAAAACAAATCAAAATGAAAAACAAACAAACAATAAAACAAAACACCCAACAGAAAAACACAACATGGCATGCATGCGGAAACCGATGTAAATCGCTCGAAGGGCGCTATGTATACAGCCCTGAATTACCATATTTGAATGGTCGCCGTTACATCTGTATGACATCTGCAAGCGAAATAAAATTTACACTATCTAATAGAGAAGCTTACTCGGGTGACAGCTCCCTGCTGAAACAAATAGCCGGGTCTTGGAAAAAAAAAAATGAAACTGGAACTTCATCGGCTTAATTCCCTCAGCATAACTGCTCACACTAGCTTGAACTCTCGTTTCCCAAGAGACGCTCAAGAAACATCAGTAACAACCACGGAGCAGGAAGAATCGAGGAAGTGGAATCAGATCTGTAGTTGGAAGAAACGGATGTGCTGGAGGCGGCGCAGAGGTTACGGGGAAGGCGGAATATGTAGGGGGGGAGGTGTTTGAAGGCTTGGTTTGGGTCAGGTCCGGCGGAGGCCCTCGACCTCGAGATCTGGTATCACGTACGGTACTGTACAACACTGGGAGTACAGTAATTCATACTTGGACTTTCCGGGCTGTTGCAGCATTTCTTGCCGGTTTGGAGTTACAGCTAGTGTACCACGTTGGTATGTCAGAATCGAGCTACGGGTTATAGAATAAACCCTACGGGTGATTGAATAGTGAAGCTCCCAATAGGCACATCTACACCCTGTAAACCACACTATTCAAGGGAAGAGTGGGCGAACACGAATCAAAATTCACACAAGACGGAGGCGAGGAGGAGGGAGGGGAAGACTCGTCGAAGGCGGGCGGGGGACAGAGCATGAGGCAGGAGGGGAGGGGAGGAGAGGGTCACGCACGGAGCTGGGCTCGGCGGGATCTGAGGAAGCTGGGGCGGGGAGGGGAAACTGGCAGGCGGGAGTCAAGCGGAGCTTGGATGGAGTTGGAGTGAAGAACTTGATCTAGCTACAGTAACTGTGAGCTCGACTTTGCTGCAAGACAGCGGCATGCTGCTGACGAGGACATAGGGGAAAGATTGCTTTGGCACCTTCTGCAACTGGTGCGACAAGCTGACAGTGCCAACAGAAACCGATGGGAGAGAGACCAGAGCGAGCCATAAGTTGCAGCAATTTGCGCGATGCTCCCAAGGTCCATCTTCCTCACCGAATTACAGTACACCCTCTTTCTCAACCTTTTCACCTTGCGCGATAATCAAACAACCTAGAAAAGCCATTTTACACAGCTCGATAAGTCGCTTGTGAACTGTAGTGCACATTATACTGTACAGCGGCGTTTGCGGGTGTAATCAATGTGGATCTGTGATCTTGTTTTTGAACCGCCAGCATACGCGATACAAGAAATAACGCGGTAAAGAAGTTCTTTGCAGCAGTCAGTACGATTTTGGCCTAACCCCCTTCACATTCATGTGTTCAGTATAGAAAACTATCATTTGCATTCCAACGATCTGGATGTGATCTACCTATGTTGTTCTCGCACCGCCACCACACAGGATAAATTACAGGACCGCGGAATCTTGATAGCAAAAACCATATGCGGCTACTGTATCATAATACATCGTAGAAGATTCCAGATTGCACGTCGTCCAGGTATATGTACCGTCCATCTTATCAGCCAACATACAGATGAGCACTAATATCCATCGACTGTGTTCCACGGTTCCACCCCCTGTGGTATGCACATGCACGGGCACCTGAAACCGTGACACGAAGAGTCAAAGGCAACACTACATGCTGCAATGCAATACTCGCCTCTCCTCTCTCATCCACCATCTTCAATCAGCCAACGTACAAACGAGCCCCAATATCCATCATCTGCTTGCCACCCCCTGTGGTATGCACAAACACAGGCACCTGAGCCATGACACGGAGAGTCAGCGGCAGCACCACAGGCTGCAACACTCCCCCTTCTCCCTCATCTCCCACTCCCGCTGCCGCCTCCGCCGCAGCTGCCAGCCCTCCATCAACCAGCAAGATACTGTCATCCTCGTTATAAGTACCACCTCCTCCACCGTCTGCGTCATCATCTCCTTCGAGCAAACCAGGCGAGATGCTCCGGGCAAGATCGTCTGCTGCCAGGCCTGCAATTCCAGTAGAATCCTCCAAACCTACATTTGCCACTGCATTGGTACTGCTCTCCTCACCACCACCACCACCACCACCACCACCACCACCACCATCATTCTGAACCAACGCTGATGGTGATATCAGATGGGCTAGATCATCTGCTGGTAGACCTTTCACTGCTGCTGCCTTGCACTCTGAGGCGCTCCCAGCCTCGCCGTTCCGAGCATGGTCTTTCCGAGCCTTTCCGTTCCGAGCCTTGGCGTTAGCCTCGGAGGGTGGAGGCTTGGCGCTGATGATGACAGTACTAGTGGCAGCAACCCATTGGCAGGTGGTGTTGGGGATGGAGTTGAAATGAATGGGTCGCTCCATCTGGACAGTGAGGAGGGGGGAGCGGAGAAGAGGGACAGGTAGGGTAGATAGGAATTGAAGAAGAGACCAGCGGAGCGTAGAAATGAGAACAACACCCAAGGTGGAGACGCTTTGGCAGGTGGTGTTGGGAATAGAGTTGAAATGAATGGGTCGTTATATCTGCACAGTGGGGAGGGAGGAGAAAAGAAGGCAGGGACGGGAAATGGTCATTGGGAGGAAATGTTGGCGATGGGGTTGAAGTGAATGGGTCTCTCCATCTGCACAGTGGGCAGGGAGAGACAAACAGCCACCACAACTCACCCCAAAGCGTTCAATGTAGACGCTCATGTAGCGCGGCCCAATTGCGGTCACCCAGGCCTTAGAAAGGCACCCCTGGGTGCGGCGCAGCAGCAGGCACAGGAACAGCCGCTCGCTCGCCTCCTGCTTGCATATAAGCGTAGCACTCGCCTGCAGTCCATTACCCACCCCAAACAACCTCAGCACACCCAGTTTCCACTCACCCCAAAGCGTTCGATGTAGACATTCATATAACGCGGCCCAATGGCAGTCACCCGCGCGTTGGAGAGGCACCCCTGGGTGCGGCGCAGCAGCAGGCACAGGAACAGCCGCTCGCTCGCCTCCTGCGCGTATCGGGCGGCGAGCTTCCTCTCGTTGCACCGTGTCGCCACGTCAGCGACGGCGTCGGCGGGCGGCATCGCTCGTTCCTTGTGCACCAGCTGGCACTCATGCCGCACTGCGGTTACCAGCTCGCGACGTAACAAGATCTTCTTGTCTTCATTCCCCTCTCCTCCTCCTCGCCCTCCCCTTCCTCCTCCCCGTCCTCTCCCTCCCCGTCTCCCTCCCCGTCTCCCTCCTGTCCCTCCTCTCCCTCCTGTCCCTCCTCTCCCTCCTGTCCCTCCTCTCCCTCCTGTCCCTCCTCTCCCTCCTGTCCCTCCTCTCCCACCTCGCCCTCCCTGCATACCCTCCTCCCCTGCAAACTCTCCCCTCCCGTCTCCCTTCCCCTCTCCTCCACTCCCTCCACTCCCTCCACTCCCTCCACTCCTTCCACACCCTGCCAGCAGCCCCAGCGGATCCCCCACAGCAGTGAGCACCCTACCTCCAGCCGCTATCCCAGTCAGCTTCCTAAGCAGCGTAACGTTGACATCACCACTCACCTCATGCCTATTCCCTCCTGCTCCTTCTGCTCCACCCCTCTCTCCTTTCTCACTTGTCGCCCCACCTGCTTCTCCTGCTTCGCCTGCTTCTCCTGCTCCTCCTGCTTCCCCTCCTGCACCCAACCCCCTCTTCTCCCACTTCACACTGCTGCTCAGCCCCATCCTCGCTATAAGCCTCTCCTCTGCCGCCAGCGCGGCCGCCAGCTGGCGGTGCACGATGACGTCAGTGTAGCGGCGGATCGGGGAGGTGAAATGCGTGTACAGGTCGAGGGCCAGCCCGTAATGGGACGTCCATTCGCCTTCTCCACCAGATGTACCTACTTTCCCACCAGAACTACCTCCCACAGATATACCTCCCCCGGATCTACCTCCCCCAGACCTACCTCCCCTGCCAGATCTGCCTCCCCCAGATCTACCTCCCCCAGACCTGCCTCCCCCAGATCTGCCTCCCCGAAATCCACCTCCCCTGAAAAACCCATCATTATCGTCACCACCATCATCACCATCACCATCCCCATCCCCATCCCCATCATTCCCACCCCACTGTCCTCGGCAGAAGTACTGAGCCAGCTGCATGGGTTCAGTCGCCATCAGCAGCAGCAGCGCTTTCTCCCCTGGATCCTCCACCGCCCGCCCCACCTCGTTAAGTATTTCACTTAGCACTTTGGACGGTATCACTCCATCCATGCCACCCCCGCCTCCCTCCGTCTCCCCTTCTCCCATCTCCTCCAAGCCTCCAGCCCCTCCCGCCCCGTTTGTACCCGCTATAAGCTGCTTCAATTCCGGGCACTCTTGCACCAGCTTCTTGCAGAACCCTGCTGAGAGCACACCCTGCTGGCAGGCAAAGCGCAGGAAATCGCCCATCTTCTTGGCGTTGGGCGGGGGGTGGCGCCTGCACGGGGCAACAAGGCAGGGGGCACAGGGGGAAAGGGGAAAGGGGAGAGTGCCAGCACTTGAAACCTGCTGACAGCACACCCTGCTGGCATGCGAAGCGCAGGAAATCGTCCATCTTCTTGGCGTTGGGAGGGGCGTGGCGCCTGCACGGAGCATGGGGCACGGGGTGAGGGAGGAGGTGAGGGGGGAGGGAAGGCGAGGGAGAGGATAATGAGCAAGGCACGCCCCGGTTGCAGGCGAAGCGCAGGAAATCGCCGATCTTCTTGGCGTTGGGCGGGGGGTGGCGCCTGCACGGGGCAACAAGGCAGGGGGCACAGGGGGAAAGGGGAAAGGGGAGAGTGCCTGCACATGAAACCTGCTGACAGCACACCCTGCTGGCATGCGAAGCGCAGGAATTCGCCGATCTTCTTGGCGTTGGGGGGGGGGTGGCGCCTGCACGGGGCATGGGACACGGGGCACAGGGTGGGAAAGGAGCAGGAGTGTTAACAACGACGATGTGGGAGGCACACTAAGCCTGCTGACAGCAAGGTGACTTTTGAGTCGACTCAAAAGTCACAGGGTGGGAAAGGGAAAGGAGCAGGAGTGTTAACAACGATGATGTGGGAGACACACGAAGCCTGCTGACAGCACACCCTGCTGACAGCACACCCTGCTGACAGCACACCCTGCTGGCAAGCGAAGCGAAGAAAGGCGCCCATCTTCTTGGCGTTCGGAGGGGGGTGGTGCCTGGACAGGGCACGAGCACGGGGCACGGAGCATGGGGAGAAGTCACAGGAGAGATGACGATGTGGAAGGCCTGAACCCTGCGGGGAGCACGCCTGTGGACCGTACCTGATGCTGCAGGGTTTTTTTGAGAATTCTCAAAAAAACCCTGCAGAAGTCACAAGAGAGATGACGATGTGGTAAGGCATGAACCTGAGGGAGCACGCCTGTGGCAGGGAGCACGCCTGTGGACGGTACCTGAGCAGGGCATGGGAAGGGAAGGCTCGAGATATGATGCTGTAGGGTTTCTTAGCGAATTCTCAAAAAAACCCTACAACAACGGTGGTGTTGGCCAGCAGCATCAGCTCCTCCTCCAGATGGTCCGCTGCTGCTGTCGCTGGTGATTTTTATATTTCAGGTGAAGGGACAAGGTGTATTGGACAATACCTGAGCAGTGCATCAGAGGGGAAGGCTCGAGATTCTCGAGCAGTGCATCAGAGGGGAAGGCTCGAGATTCTCGAGCAGTGCATCAGAGGGGAAGGTTCGAGATATAATGTTGGCGACGGCGGTGTTGGCCAATAGCATCAGCTCCTCCACCAGATGGTTCGCTGCTGCTGTGCTTAAGGTTTCTTGTTTAAGGATGCTGTGTTTAAGTAAGAGGCCAACTGGACATTACCTGAGGAGCGCATCGGAAGAGAAGGCTCGAGAGATGATATTGGCAACGGTAATGTTGGCCAGAAGCATCAGCTCCTCCACCAGGTGGCTCGCTGTTGCAGTTGGAAGTTTCATATTTGAAGGAAAGAAGGCCTACTGGACAGTACCTGAGCAGAGCATCGGAAGGGAAGGCGCGAGAAATGATATTCGCCACGGTGGTGTTGGCCAGAAGCATGAGCTCCTCCACCAGATGGTTCGCTGCTGCTGTTGCCGGCGCCACCGCTGCACCCACAGGCCTCCACTTATTACCATTGCTACCGCCACCGCTGCTGCTGGTGCTGGTGCTGGTGTTGGTGTTGGTGTTGGTGTTGTTGGTGTTGTTACCCACGCCCACATCCCCAATGCCCCCCAGCTCCTCCTCCCCCTCCTCCCCTTCCTCTGCATCAAAGGAGAACCTCAGTTTGGATGTCTGCAGCTGCATGAGCGCACCCCTCTCCTCCCTTGCCCGTCTCAGGCTCTGCGCTATACGGTGCAGCGCCAGCACGTCTCCAATCACATCGTGCCACCTGTGGCCTCCGTATACGACCGGCCGCCAGTCCTCGTTCACTCTGCCGTCCAGCTTCCCCACCCCTCCACTGCCTCCTCCCCCTCCGCCCCCTCCGCCTTCTCCGCCCTCTCCGTCCCCTCCTCTGCTCCCCGCCCCCTCACTCCCCCCTTCACTCACACTCCCAATCCCACTCTCATCATCCCCCTCCTCCCTCACCTCCTTCCCCTTCTTCCCCTCTCCCCCTCCCCGCCCCCACCCTGCCACCTCCTCCCCTCCCCCAAACCTCCCATCGATCATCTCCTGAGCATGCCCATACGCCAGCTGGACGCACGGACGAATTACAGACCTTCCCGCCCACTACCGCCTCACCTCCCCCGTTACAGTCACATCCCACACCACCGAGAACGCCAGCCTGTCAACCCCCGGCTGTAGCGAGCAGAGGTCCTCGCACAGCGGGCGGGGGAGCATCGGCATGGCCTGCTGGATTAGATACACTGTCGTGCACCGCCGGGCGGCTTCGGCATCTAGTGCGGATCCGGGCGGTATGAAGTATGACACGTCAGCAATGTGAACGCCCACTTGGTACAACTCCTCCTCCTCTTCTTCCTCCTCCTCCTCTCCTCCCTCCTTCTCCCCCTTCCCCTCCTCTTCTCTCTCCTCCTCTGCCTTCTCCCCCTCTACCTTCCCTAACCCCCCCTTCCCCTTCCCCTTCTCCTTCCCCTTTCCTTTTTTCTTCCCCTTAGCCCCCCCAGCCCTTATCCTCGTTATAGAGAGAGCATCATCCAAATCTCGAGCAGTGGGAGGGTCGATAGTGAACACCCGCTGGCCCCTAAAGTCCCTGCGAACTGCTATCTCCTCTGCAGGAATCTGCCACCCGCTGCTGCTGCTGCTGCCGCCGCCGGTGCTTACACCCTCATTAGTATCACCCTCACTATTATCACCACCCTTACCATCACTATCACCCCTCGTCCCACCAGCCCCACAAGGCAACTCTGCAAGCACCTCTGGCGAGAAATCCGCCCCATGAATCCCAAACTGCGCCAGAATCGCCCTCGTTTCGGTCTCAGCGTCCCCTGCCGGCCCCAGGCTCTGTGTGACTATACCGAAGGGCAGGAACTGGCCTGCAGACCAGCGTGACAGCCTGGCTGCTACTAGCATCTGCCTCACCTCCGCTGCTGCTGCTACAGCCGCTGCCGCCTCATCTGCGGCTGCTACTGACGCCGCTACAGCTGTCTCCGCTACAGCCACATTCGCTACGGACTCAGTCCCATCAGCCCTGGTCGCATCCGTAGCATCAGCAGCGACAGAAGCAGCCTCTTCTATTGGTGCAATGCTAGGGCCGCTCTTATTGGTCCTCCTGCTGCCGGCCTTCTGACGCGTGTCAGGCACAGCGGCGGCTGCTAAGACGAGGTCTTTAATCTCCTTGGGTAGGGTACTAATTCGGACTAGCATGCGGGGAAACCGAGGATCCACTGGAGTGAATGTGACTATACCGAAGTCCGCAAAATTTGGCATTGGCGTTGCCGACTGGGCTTCGTTCCCTGTGGTCGCTGTGCAAACTCCGTTACTGTCACTGGTGCTACCAGTGACAGCAGCAGATGCAGAATCAGCAGCAGCCGGATTAGCAGCCACAGGAGCAGGAGCATCGGCAGCAAAAGCACCAGCAGGGGCAGTATGAGAACCAACAACAGAATCCTTCAATTCAACAGCAGAGGAAGACGGTTCACTATCACCAGCTTCCATAGATAGGAATACCGCTTCCTCCTCCCCAACCACCTCCCCCTCCTCCATAACTACTTCCCCCTCCTCCTCTTCCCCAACCACCTCCCCCTCCTCTAGAATCACTTCCTCCTCTTCCCCAATCACCTCCCCCTCTTCAATCTCATCTCCTCCGCTAGTAACCCCACTCCCATTCACCTTCGCATTCCCCCCCATTGCGGCCGGCTGCCCTTGCTGCTCCTGCTGTTGCTCCTTCTCTTGCTGCTGCTGCTTCTGCTGCCCCTGCTGCCCCTGCTTCTCCTGCTTCCGCTGCTGCGTCTCCCCCACTCGCTTCTTCCTCTCCACTGCCCGTCGCCTCTGCCTCTCCTTCTCTATCTGCGCTCCTGCAGCCGGCTGCAGCTCTAACCTACCCACCACCGCCTCTCTCCGCGCAGACCAATGAACAATCGCCACCACACGCCCCGTCAGCCGCAGATCCGGATTCCCCCTCACTGCCCGCGCCAGCCTCTCTACCGCCTCCGCCTTTCCCCCCTGCCTACTCCCCTCCTCTCTCTCCCCTCCTCCCCCTCTCCCCCCTCCTCCCCCTCCTCTCCCTCCTCTCCCTGCCTCAACTCCAGTCGCTGCACCAGTGCTTGGCGCGCTGTGAGTGTTCAGAGAGTCATTTTCTTCCTGTGTGGCGCCTATCTGTGGATGACTGGGTTCCAGTGACGGAGGGTCTACTTCCACTGCCACTGTGTCTCCTTCAACCTGCAGGCACGGAGGCACAGAGGCGCAGACACGTCAGCATCATTTGACTCGATGGACAGGAAACACAGAAATGAAAAAGGCTGAGTTTTTACAGCGTCTTAGCATAAGACGGAAAAAACACTAAAGATTAAAGGTCGATTCCATTGAATGGATTGCGCACCGAAAGGGGAAGCGCCGGAATTGGATGAGAGAAAATCAAAACTTTCAAAAGAAACTTACCGCTCGATTCTGTGCCTTGAGACCATAAATCAGGACATCCCGAGGAACTCCCTTTATAGTCACATACGCCTGAAGGGAGAGCAAGAAACAGCAACGCATGATTAGTGTGCAGAACTCCCTTCACAGTCACATATGCCTCGAGGAACACCACGGTACCTAATCAAAGCACGAGCAAAGATGCATCACAGAAGGCACCGAAGCAACAACAAAAGACTCCCGAGTCAACTGAATATATGTTTTTATCTTACATTACCCAGAGCAGCACACAGAGCGCACTGCGAGCGATGGAGCAAACTTTTGGGCTGACTTTCAACCGCAAATGTTGCTTTCACAATTGTTGGCAGACAAGATGGGTAGCGATACCATCGCAGACAAGGTGGACTCACCTCAAATCGATTCCGCGCGTTGACCCTGAATGATGCAGCAAAAAGGGTGCCGTCCTGCAGAAGTGGAAAAAGAACAGAAGCGAACGAGAATTAACATGACAAGGTTGCAGCAAAAGAAAACAAAAGAAGGGCAGTATTGGGAAAGCAGGAAAATGGAACGAGCATCGACGGATGCAGGCACAAGAACACGTGAAGGTTAAATAATGCAGACCAAATGACCAGTCTCAGGTAAAGGTTCACACACGATAGACGTACCTGGATCCTCTGCTTGGCAACTTCAAGCGGCAAGTGCGGGGCGAAGCACCCCCTGAAACCCTTCTCCTTCCCCCTGTTCTCGCTATTGCTAGCCCCAGTAAACGCCTGAGCTGTCCGATCTGAACCACAGGTCCTCGCATCCCAACTAGTGGGTGCCACAGAACCCCAATCAACCGAAACAGATGACTTTTGGGTTGAATCACCCCACTCCACCGAGACAGATGACCTTGGAACCGAATCAAGAGCCTCCGAGCCTCCCTCTGCATTCATGGATGCTGCATCCCCCCAACCAGTTGGTGGAGGAGTCTTAAACCCTAAACCAGTGCCATCCCTGCCATTGTTGATTGAGGGACCAGCACTGCCAACTCTCTGCTGCTTGTCAGTCCCACTTCCACTCTCTCGCTGCTGCTGCTGCTGCTGCTGCTGCTGCTTCTTCTCCTTCTGCCTCTCTCTCTTCTGCTTTTTTTTCTCCTGCTTCTCCTTTTCCTTCCTCTCCGCCTCATTTTGCACCTCCCCTGCGTGCGCCACTGAATCCGTCAGGTTTCCGAATTCAGGAGCCTGCTTTGACGGAATCAGCTCTGGATTTGACTGAATCGGCTCTGATACTGACGGGATCGACTCTGACGGTGTGGTTTCATCGGAAGCTTCCTTTCCTACTCCGGCTGCTTCCTTTGCCTGCTTCTCCAGCATCTCCTTTTCCTTTTTCTCTTTCTTCTTCTCCTTCTTCCGTGCCGCCTTCTCCTCTGCATTTCCTGGAATTCTAGGACATTCGAGAAGCGCGGGACGAAGGCCTGAGAGTTTTCACCAACGAAAACTCAGTCTTGTGAAAACCTTGGGCAATCGTCGCTTTCCGGGTCGCCTAACGTTCCGTCTGTCACGGTAACTCCGCAGTTGCTGTTCTTCGGCATGATCTGGGGGTGGAAGAGAGAAGAGAAGGTGATACTATCGCATTAGCAGGAAACGCAAAAGAAAACAATCAAAACGAATTAAAACAAAATGAAAAGAAACAACTGCAAACGAAAACAGAAACACGAGCATGAATAGAGCTTACACCTCATTGTCGAAGATGATGTTTGTCCGCTGCTGCGTGCCTCCCCCCGTAATCTGTTGGGGGAGGAGAAGAAAGAGAAGGAAAGGGTAATAGCAGACGCCGCGCTCCTCGCTAAACCTGCATCATAGAGGAGGCAACCAAATGGGAAGTTAGATTAAAAAAAAAAAAGCAACAGAAACATAAACAACAACAAAACAAAAACAACACGAGGAAAAGTCAGAGTTATCACCTTCACGTTGGAGTAGAATCTTCTTATCCGTTGATCTCCTCCCGTGATCTGAGGGGGAAGGAGAAGAAAGAGACAGAAAGAGAGGGTGATAGCTTCCTCCGCGGCTCCATGCTAAACCTGCAGCGCAGAAGAGAAAAACATAAGAAAGTTAGTCTAAAACAGAAAAATGAAGAAGAACAACAAGACAAAAACAACAAAAACTGAAAGCAGAGGAGGAAGAGAGTACCTTCATTGACGGAGAAGAACTACCGTGGTGCTCCTCCTCCCGTGATCTGAAGGGGGAGGAGAAGAAAGAGACAGAAGGGGAGGTGTCAGATTTATATGACATAGCTACTGTAGGCTATAGTGGGGTAGCACATATGGGGTACAGTTTTCTAGGGTTTGCTTTTGTACCCAACTTTCCTTTAGTCATTTCATTCCTCGTTTCTTCTCATGGTATCGAGCAGGTTCCCTAGTGGGAACACTTCCTAGGGCCCACCACGAATTTTTTTTTTCCTGCCCGGAGCGCGCTTCGCTCCTGCCAGAGTCGCGCCCTGTGTGCCCTCCCTACCGTCGCGCCCTCTCACGGCCCCTCACGGCCCCTTCGCGTCGCCCTTAGCGGCCCCTCTCACGGCCCCTTGCGCCGCCCTTACGGCCCCTCGCGCCGCCCTTACGGCCCCTTACGGCCCCTCGCGCCGCCCGTCGGCCCCTCGCGCCGCCCTTAGCGACCCCTTACGGCCCCTCGCGCCGTCCCTTACGGCCCCTCGCGCGGCCCCTTACGCCCCTTACGGCCCCTCCCGCGGCCCCTCACGGCCCCCTACGGCCCGTCGCCGCCCTCCGCGGCCCCTCGCGCCGCCCTATCACGGCCCGTCGCCGCCCTCCGCGGCCCCTCGCGCCGCCCTATCACGGCCCGTCGCCGCCCTCCGCGGCCCCTCGCGCCGCCCTTCACGGCCCCTTCGCCGCCCTTCGCGGCCTCTCGCGGCCCTGTCGCCGCCCCCTCCGGCCCGCCGTCGCCGCCCCTGCCGCAGCAGCCGCCGCAGTCCCTACAGCAGCGGCCGTCGCCGTCCCTGCAGCAGCAGCCGCAGCCGTCGCCAGCAGCAGCCGCCACCACCTCCCTCGGGGCCGCAGCTGCTGCCGCCGCTGACTGCACCCGCCGGTGCGCCTCGGCCCTACCGGCGCCGCTCCACCCGGCCCCGCCGCCGCTCCCCGCGCGGCCCCGCCGTCACCACCGAGCCGCCGGCGCCGCCGAGCTGCTGCCGAGCTGCCCGATCCACCCGAGCCGCCCGAGCCGCCGCGCCACCTGAGTCGCCCGTGCTGCCGAGCCGCCGTACCGCCGAGCCGCCCGAGCCGCCCGAGCCGCCGAGTCGCCGAGCCGCTGTTGCTGCCGAGCCGCCGTACCGCCGAGCCGCCCGAGCCGCCCGAGCCGCCGAGTTGCCGAGCCGCTGAGCCGCCGAGCCACCCGAGCCGCCCTGTCTGGTAAGAGCAGCGCCTCTGTCACTGCACTGCCCTTACCCTACTGTTCGCGCTGCTAGTCTACTGCTGTCATGGCTACCCCTAGTGTCCTCGTTTTTTACGCTGACGGTCGGGCCATTGATTTTGACGTCTGGGTAGATGACCTGCAGCTTTTCCTACAGTGCGATAGGGCAGACGGTCTCTCCCTCTTTGACCTCACCTCTGGTGCCTCTCCTGCCCCTGCTGCTGATGCCGACGCCACTGTTCGCTCACAGTGGGCCACTCGCGATGCTGCTGCACGTCTTGCTGTGCGTCGCCACCTGCCTACCTCTGAGCGTGCGCACTTTAGCCAGTACAAGAGTGCTCAGACCTTGTACGACGCTGTAGTTGCGCGCTACTCCTCCCCTGCCACTGCTGCACTGAGCCGCCTCATGCTACCGTACCTCTTCCCTGACCTTGCTGCCTTTCCCACAGTCGCTGACCTCATTACGCACCTCCGCACTAGTGACACTCGCTACCGCGCTGCGCTTCCTGCTGAGTTCTGCGCCAAGAACCCCCCCCCCATGTACATCACCCTCTACTACATAGTCACCCGGCTCCCTGACTCCCTTTGCGTAGTCAGGGACCACTTCCTCTCAGTTTGCCCCACCACTCTCACCGTTGACCTCCTCGAAAAGGCCCTCCTAGCAGCAGAAAAGAGCATAGTAGCTGTAGGAGCCTCTCGTGGTGACCCTCGCACCCCCATCTTTGAGGGGTGTTCCCCCTCCCCCCTTTTGCCCTCTGTTGCCTCTGCTGCTGCGGCCGACCTCGTTGGGCTTGAGTCGGTCGGTGCGGCGTCTACCCCTAGCGGGAGACGCCGCCCTGGCAAGGACAAGGGGGGCAGGGGCACTGGAGGAGCTAGCGGGGGCGGTGGAGGCGGCGGTGGAGGCGGTGGAGGGGGTGGGGGTGGCGGTGGGGGTGGTGGCGGGGGTGGAGGTGTCGGTGGCGGCAGTGGAGGTGGAGGCGGCGGCGGCGGTGGCGGTGGGAGCGGAGGTGGCGGCGGTGGAGGAGGCGGCGGCGGAGGAGGTGGAACTGGTCGGGGTGGCGCTGCGCAGAGGGTCGGCTCCGGTGGTGGTCAGCGCCAGCAGCAGCAGCAGCAGCAGCGCACTCGTGACATCCCCCCCCCTCAGCAGCTCCGTGAGTGGTACGCTGCACGCCAGCGGGGTGGGGGTACTGGTCCGTGCACCTACGTCCTACGCACCGGAGACCGCGCGGGTGAGCAGTGCTGGGGTGCGCACTCCACCCAGCGCTGCTTTGGCCGCCTGACGGACGCTTGGCGTCACCAGTTCCCTGAGGCCACTGAGATCCCCCGCTGGGGTGAGCTGTCTAGGGCGGGTGTAGCTGTCTTTGACCTTGACTTTGATGCTATTCTTGCTGCCATGTATACTGTGACTATTAGTGATGAGGGTGACTGTTACCGGTGTTTTCCGCCCGACCCGGGCATTGAGTCTGCTGCTCTAGGTACTGGTGAGGCTGCTGCTCTAGGTGCTAGCGAGGCTGCTGCTCTAGGTGCTCGTGCGTCTGCTCCCTCAGGTGCTGGTGAGTCTGCTCTCTCAGGTTCTGCGTCGGCTTCGGCCTCCCACACCTTCACCCTTGACTCGGGGGCTTCTCGCTCCTTCTTTCGAGACCGCACCAGACTCACGCCGCTTGGCCGGCCAGTTGCAGTCTCTCTGGCAGACCCCTCTGGGGGTCCTGTCCTTGCTCACTTCTCCACTGTCCTCCCGTGTCCGGCGGCCCCCTCTGGCACCCTGTCTGGTCTTTACCTCCCCTCGTTCTCTACGAACTTGGTAAGTGGTGCTGACCTACAGGATGCGGGGGTTCACCAGTTCACTCCTGCGAGTCAGCGGGTGACCCACTGCACAGACGCTCGGACAGGCCGACACCTGGCCACGTTTACACGTCGGCCGGGGTCGAGCCTGTACACACTGACCACTGCGTCTCCTCCAGTCACTGCGTCTGGTCAGGTAGCTGCGTCGGGTCAGGTGTTTGCTGCAGCGTCCAGGTCTGGTCCTGAGTCTGCCCCCTGTTCGTGTCGCCTTCTGTCTCACGAGACTCTCCTCTGGCACCACCGCCTTGGTCACCCCTCCCTGCTTCGTCTCCGAGGCATGGCCTCCCGTGTCCTTGTCTCTGGTCTTCCCCGGTCCCTCCCTCCCCTTCCTCCGGGGCCTGGCCCTACCTGCGTCCCCTGTGTCGAGGGGCGGCAGCGGGCTGCCCCTCACTCCTCCCAGTTTCCTCCGACAGAGGCCCTGCTGCAGACGCTTCACATGGACGTGTGGGGCCCGGCCCGCGTCCGTGGACAGGGTCACGAGCGCTACTTCCTGCTGGTGGTTGACGACTACTCGCGTTACACCACAGTCTTCCCCTTGCACAGCAAGGGTGATGTCACTGAGGTGTTGATCGACTGGATCCGCGCAGCTCGTCTCCAGCTCAGGCAGAGCTTCGGCTCGGACTTTCCTGTTCTGCGTCTGCACTCTGACAGAGGTGGAGAGTTCTCCTCTGGCCTTCTGCGAGCCTACTGTCGTGCACGAGGCATCCGCCAGACCTTCACGCTTCCGGACTCTCCACAGCAAAATGGGATTGCTGAGCGCCGCATTGGCATGGTCATGGACGTCGCCCGTACGTCCATGATGCATGCGGCTGCCCCCCATTTTCTGTGGCCGTTTGCGGTTCGGTATGCGGCGCATCAGATCAACCTTCACCCCAGGGTCTCCATGCCGGAGACCTCCCCAGCTTTGCTGTGGACGGGGAAGGTTGGCGATGCGTCTGCGTTCCGTGTCTGGGGATCTCGGGCGTTTGTCCGCGACTTGTCTGCGGACAAGCTGTCCCCTCGTGCTGCTCCTTGCGTCTTCCTTGGCTTCCCCCCTGACGCGCCAGGGTGGCAGTTCTACCACCCCACCTCTCGCCGTGTTCTGTCCTCCCAGGACGTCACGTTTGACGAGTCGGTCCCCTACTACCGCCTCTTCCCCTACCGCACTCCGTCCCTCCCCCCGCCACCGCTCTTCCTTGTGCCAGGTCCCCCCCCGGTAGACCCCCTCCCCCCTCAGGGTCCTGCCCCTTCAGGTGTGTCCCAGGTAGACGCAGTCGAGCCTGTCGAGGTTACTGGTGACTCTGGTGCTGCTGAGGGTGCTGAGCCTGGGGGTGCTGACTCTGGGGGTGCTGAGCGTGTGGGTGCTACGCCTGGGGGTGCTGAGCCTGAGGGTGCTACTACTGGGGGTCCTGAGCCTGGGGGTGCTGAGCCTGGGGGTGCTACTACTGGGGGTGCTGAGCCTGGGGGTGCTGAGCCTGGGGGTGCTACGCCTGGAGGTGCTGAGCCTGGGGGTGCGGAGCCTGAGGGAGCTGGGCCTGCTCGTGTGGCGTCTGGCGGTGCTGAGCCTGGAGGTTCTCCGGGTGCTTCGTCTCGGCGAGAGCCACTCTCTCCACAGGAGCTGCGCGAGTGGTTTGCCCGGCGCTGGAGGCGTGCTGCTGGAGCTGGAGGTTCTTCGGCTGCTGAGGGTGCTGGTGCCGCGGGTCCCGGAGGTGCTCGTACTGGGAGTACTGGAGCTGCTGGGCCTGCGGGTACGACTGGAGCTGGAGCTGCTGAGGGTGTTGGCGCTGAGGCTACTGCTGTCGGTCCTGGAGGCGGTCCTACTGGGGGTGCTACTGGTGCTGCTGGAGGTACTGGAGCTGGAGGTGCTGCTGGCGCTGGTGCTGCCGCTGGGGGTACTGGTGCTGTCCCTGCTGTGTCTGGAGTCGCCGCGCGGCCTCGGCCGTACTTCGTTCCGCTCCTTCAGCAGGTTCTTGGTCTCCCGCCTTCTACTGGTCCTCCTCCTCCCTTAGAGTGTCCACAGCCTGTCCCGTCACAGTTACAGTTACAGCCGGCCTCCCCACTGCCCGCTCCTTCTCCCTACACTGGTCCTACTGGAGGTCTTACAAAGCGTCGTGAGCCTGCGTCTCGCCCTGCGTCGCCTGTCCGTGCTGCTCGCACTAGTGGTCGTGGTTCGCGTCAGCGTCCTCCTCCTGTCCTTGGCACGCACCGGATGTCTCTGCGTCCGTCCACTGCTCCTCTGCGTGCCCCTTTGCCTTCTCCTCCTGAGTCCTCTCTTCCTGCTCTTCCTGACCCGGCGTCGGACTCCGTTCGTGCTGCCAGTCCGACTGTCACGCGTCTCCTTGCTACTGTTGTCACTGACCCTTCCTTTGAGTCCACTGCTGCGTCTGCCCTAGTTGCTGAGCTCGTCGACTTTGCTGCTCGCTGTCGTCTAGACTACGCTGCTAGTCTTGTTGCTGAGTCTGAGTCTGTCTGTCCTCCGTCCGTCGGGGGTGAGTGTGCCCTTGGCACGGACGTCCTTGAGGACAGGCAGGAGGAGTTCCAGTGTCTGGCTGCTGCTTCACCTCATCTCGTGTCCGTACTGCTTACCCCTGAGGGAGACCCGGATGCACTTGACATCCCGACTCCGCGCTCTTACGCGGAGGCGATAGAGGGTCCCTACTCCTCTCAGTGGCAGGCAGCTATGGACGCAGAGATGGCTTCCTGGAAGTCCACAGGCACCTACGTTGACGAGGTTCCCCCGCCTGGGGCGAACATCGTCAGTGGCATGTGGATTTTCAGGGTGAAGCGGCCGCCGGGTTCTCCGCCTGTCTTCAAGGCGCGTTACGTGGCTCGTGGCTTCAGTCAGCGGCAGGGAGTTGACTACTTTCAGACCTTCTCTCCCACCCCGAAGATGACCACTCTTCGGGTACTGCTGCACATAGCTGCTCACCGCGACTACGAGCTGCACTCTCTTGACTTCAGCACTGCTTTCTTGCAGGGCAGCCTGCACGAGGAGATCTGGCTGCGTCGCCCACCTGGCTTCACTGGGTCCTTTCCTCCTGGCACCCAGTGGAGCCTCCGGCGGCCAGTCTACGGTCTCCGCCAGGCACCGCGTGAGTGGCACGACACACTGAGGACTACACTTGCGGCTCTTGGGTTTGCTCCCTCTACTGCCGACCCGTCGCTGTTTCTGCGCACCGACACTTCTTTGCCGCCGTTCTACATCCTCGTGTACGTCGACGACTTGGTCTTCGCCACAGCTGACACTGCTGGACTCGCCCACGTGAAGTCCGAGCTGCAGAAGAGACACACGTGCACAGACCTGGGTGAACTGCGCAGCTACCTTGGCTTGCAGATCACCCGGGACAGAGCACGCCGCACCATTACCCTGACTCAGTCACACATGGTGCAGCAGGTCCTTCAGCGCTTCGGCTTCACGTACTCCTCGCCTCAGGCCACTCCTCTGCCTACTCGCCACTCGCTCTCAGCTCTGCCTTCGGATGAGTCCGTAGAGTCGAGTGGCCCGTACCCAGAGCTTGTTGGCTGCCTCATGTACCTGATGACCTGCACACGACCTGACCTTGCATACCCTCTTAGCATTCTTGCACGCTATGTTGCTCCTGGGAGACACAGACCAGAGCACATGGCTGCAGCGAAGAGGGTGTTGCGCTACTTGTGCAGTACGTCGGGCATGGGGCTTGTGCTTGGAGGGCAGAGTCCAGTGGTCCTCACTGGGCACGCAGACGCTTCTTGGGCTGACGACCAGGCTACGCAGCGGTCGTCACAGGGTTACACCTTCAGCCTTGGTTCCGGCTCTGTTTCGTGGCGGGCTACCCGCTCGTCTTCTGTTCTCGGCTCCAGTTGTGAGGCTGAGATCTACGCTGGGGCCATGGCTGCACAGGAGCTTCGCTGGCTCACCTACCTGCTCACTGACCTCGGAGAGCCGCCTCGTTCTCCTCCAGTGCTGTACGTAGACAACAAGGCCATGCTGGCCTTGTGTCGAGAGCAGAGACTGGAGCACAGAACGAAGCACATTGCTCTCCGCTACTTCCTTGCTCGTGAGCTACAGCAGCGTGGTCAGCTACGGCTTGCGTACGTGGCCTCTGAGGCCAACACTGCTGATATCTTCACCAAGGCACTTCCGCCTTGTGATCATCAGCGCTTCTGTACTCAGCTGGGTCTTGTGCCTACCTTGCCTCACTTGCTCACCCCTTGACCTTGCTTGTACTGTTGCATATATATATACACCTGCTCTTGCTTGTCTAGCCTTATATATATATGCAATCCTGCATGTGAACTGGCCTTGTGGCCTTGAACTTGTGCTCGGAATGTGTGGTGACTTTGTGATCCACCCTGAGCTTGTTTTGCTTTGCTTGACTGGTCTTGTGACCCCTTGTTCTCCCCCACTTTGCCTATGGGGGTGTGTCAGATTTATATGACATAGCTACTGTAGGCTATAGTGGGGTAGCACATATGGGGTACAGTTTTCTAGGGTTTGCTTTTGTACCCAACTTTCCTTTAGTCATTTCATTCCTCGTTTCTTCTCAGGAGGGTGATAGCTTCCTCCGCGGCTCCATGCTAAACCTGCAGCGCTGAAAAAAAAAACCATAAGAAAGTTAGTTGAAAACAGAAAAATAAAGAACAAGAAGATAAAAACAACAACAACAAAAAAAAAAAAAGATTGAAAGTGTTGGAGGGAGTTCGGTGGTGGGGCAGTTGTATGCCCCCAACCCACCGAGGGCACTTCGGTGCCTTCGATCCCTTTGACTAGGGATCGGTGGGGTTGCACCGATTGACTTCGGAAGACTCACAATTCGGTGCCACGTGGCGGCACCACATTCCAACCTTCAAGTGCAAGGCGAATTCGGTGTGTTCGGTGTGAAATTCGGTGGCCGAATTTCACCCCAACCGAAATGTTACACGCGGCGCATTCGCGACGCGAGTGTAGCGTGTTGGTGCAACCCTACGGTTTGCACTCGGCTTGTTGTCCGTGTGCGTGAATGTGTGTGTGTATGGAATGGTATGAGGGCATGGGATAATATATATTTCATGCTTATAATTGTGTGTGAATGTTGAGTCATGATGTCGAGTGTGTGTGTCGAGTCAATAGCGAGTTATCGCTAGACGCGTGTTACGCGGTCGTTTGTGTCTCGCGCGCGGTTTCTATTTTGTCGTGCGCGGTTTCTATTTTGTCCTGTGTCGAACGTTCGGCGTGTCGCAGGTGTGTGCAGCAGACCCATCAAGAACTCAATGATGAGTTTGTGATGAAGAGCCCGAGCCTTGGTGTCAAGCCTCAAGTGATTTCGAAGCTCGCCAAAAAGGGTACACCTCAAGATATTTAAGATAGTTACATTACTTTGTGTAGTGTAACATTTCACTTGGTGTAGGCCCTAGTGAAGGGTAGTTTCGAGACCCTTCGTGGTTGGGGATAGTGTGGCACTGTTCCACATCACTGTACCTCGGCTCTTGGGGTTTGTAGGAGCTGGGAGTCATTCCCAACTCGTAACTCTTCCTATCTTGTGATCTAAGACTATAGTGGCTGCCATAGTACCGTTCGTTCAAACCGACGCTGTGTCGTCAATTCTTTATCAAATCGTGCAATCTAAATTGATAATTGTAGACGACATGAAGACGCTCCAGATCCAATTTGAATCAAGTCATTTGCAGCTGTGAGCAGAACGCTATCAACGTTTGAAGCCGCTGTGCAGAAATCCGTCTGTGCTCTCTATCTTTCGTTTTAGGCACATTCAAGCCTATTGTGACTATAACAAGTGGTATCAGAGCCCCTTGGAGCAGTTTCGACAATGTCTGGACCTGAGGAAAGGGGTGGCAGAGGTGCTGGTGGCAGTGGAGAAGCTCAAGCTCAAGGCCAACCCCGTGATTCAGCCATGGCGCCCATGCAACCAAGTCTTGGCCCACCTAGGGATGAGCCTAGGGTGTTTGGGCTTGACAAGTTCAACGGTGACAACTTTGCTGAATGGTCCTTCAAGATGGAGAACATCTTTGACCACTATGACCTGCTGGAGGTGATGGAAGGAACGGAGAAGCGCCCCGAGAACGACCCGGAGAAGAGCCCGTGGGTGCGGAAGAGCGCACAAGGCTATCTCTTACTTGGGCAAGCGTTGGGGAGCAGTCAGATCCGTCACATCAAGCCATTCCAGCGTGAACCAGAGAAAGGACCAAAGGCATGGGCTGCTCTCAAGGGTGTACATGCTCCTGCAACAGCGGCGGTAGCGGTGGTGTTGGAACGGCAAATGGCGGCACTACGAATTGAAGAAGACGAAGCGGTTGAAGAAGGGGTGCAGAAATTCTTCGACTTGTTGACGCGGCTTGAGGGAGCTGATTTGAACTACAGTGAGCTCCAAAAGAAGAGCAAGTTGCTGGCCTTACTCCCAGAGTCATGGTCCTCGCTCATCATCAACCTTAATCGCGACTTGCCCCGCCTCTCGCTTGAAGACGTGAAGCGAGCTATCCTTCAAGAGGATTTCCGCCACCGTGAGTTGGCGAGCGCGGATGGCGCTGGGGCAGCGAGCATCGGCCGTGGATATGGTCGAGGAAGAGGCAGAGGACGAGGGGGAGGAAGGTTTGGTGGCAGCAACTTCGGCGGAGGCCGCAGGAGTGGCGGTTACGGCAGCGACGACAAGAGCTACGGACGCGGTCGCGGCCGATTCGACGGCGAGTGTCACTATTGCCACAAGAGCGGACACATGTGGCGCGACTGCTACAAACTCCCTGATGGTTGGACCCCTGCTCAAGGCCAAGAGGGTAGAGGAGCAGGAGGAGGGAGAGGACGAGGCCGTGGAGGCCGTGGCGGTCGCGGTGGCGGAGCTGCAAACATGAAGAGCGGAGACAACGACAAGGACCCGAGCGACGATCGATACCCGGGTCTATTCTACTTCGTGTCGACGCAAGTACCGGCTGGTCCAGAGAAGGATGAAGGCTTTGAGGAGCCAGCAGCTGTGGGGAAGGTGACCCTACACCCCCTGGACTATTGGGTGATTGATAGTGGCGCTACCTATAGCATGACACCTCGCCCGGACTTGCTCACCGAACTCGAGCCGTCACCGGTGAAGCATGTCACATCGGCTTTGGGGCAGCGAGCAGAGGTGAAAGGCATGGGCAAGGCCATGTTCAAGGGTGCTGATGGGAAGATGGTGGGCCTCAAGAACGTGCTTTGGGTGCCCAGCCTTGCTGCAAACCTGATTTCCGTGTGGCGGTTGGCAAAGGCCGGCATGGACACGAACTCGAAGGGAGCCAAGACCTACACCGCAAGGCTTGGCGATCGAATTCTTTGGGACCTTCATGAGGACAGGGATGTCTACAACGAGATGTGGCAGATCCCAGTGGTCCCTATGCCTAAGGAGAGGCAAGTGGCAGCAAGCATCAGCACCAAGGATGGAGCGGTCGGTAGCGACGATGGCGCGAACGGTCGCGCTAAGGAGAATGAGCTCAAGAAGAGCAAACCTGGAGGGACCAGCAAGTTCAGTGAACCTAAGGAGAGTGGTGCAGCAACCAAGGAGCAGCAAAAGGGTGAGGAGAACCCAGAGGCAGCAGCGGAGGAGGACTACGGAGAGAGTATGTGGGGCGCTATTACGAGCGCGGCATTCTCCAATCCAACTTCGGCTACGGGGGAGTGTGATTGGCTCACCTTGCATCGGCGCATGGGGCATGTGGCCCTGCCCATCTTGCAGCAGCTAGTGAAGAATGAGATGGTTGCTGGCATACGTGTGAAGGGGGAGCCCGATGAGGTGCTTGGCTGCCCGACGTGCATTCAAGCCAAGTTCACCCGGTTTCCGTTCCCTAGTTCGGAGGCAACGGCAAAGGCACCGCTTGATGAGGTGGTGATGGACGTGGTGGGCCCCCTGAAGCTTGGAGCTGCTGGAGCTGAGTATTTTCTCACCATTGTCGACGTCTACACCCGCATGACTTGGGTGTACGTGCTGGCCAAGAAGAGCGACGTGGCTGAAACGTTGAAGACGGATTGGTTCCCGATGGTGGAGCGGCAACAAGACCGTCTAGTCAAGTCAATCCGCACCGATCGAGGGGGAGAGTTCCTGAGCAAGGAGTTTGGGTTGTGGCTCAAGAAGAATGGTATTCGGCACTCCCTCACCATGCCATACTCCCCTGCAATGAACGGCATCGCCGAGCGAGCGAACCGCACAATCACGGAGGCGGCACGCGGGTTGCTCATTGAAGCCGGGCTACCCGACTATTTCTGGCCTGATGCGGTGCGGAGCGCGTGTGTGGCCAAGAACAGAGCCTTGACTCATGTGGGAGCAGACAAATGGGTGCCCTATGTGGAGTGGCTAGGAAGGAAGCCAAAGGTGGATATGCTTCGGGTGTTCGGGTGCATGTGCATGGCGCTCGTGCCTAAGCATCTTCGGCACAACAAGCTTGGTGCCAAGGCGGTGTGGGCCGTGCACTTGGGCATGGCTCAAAACAGCAAGGGATGGCTTCTTTGGGACCCATTCACCAAGAAGTTCTTGGTGAGCAGGGACTGCAAGTTCATGGAGAACTTCATGTACAAGGATTGGAAGGCGGAGAATGAGGCGAAGACAGGCGTGCGGTTTGGGGAGGTGAAGAGTTCCGGTTTGGAGCATGTGGAGCTGCCTTTGGAGCTGAGCAGCGGCAGCACAACCACAAGGCAATCCTCCCTTGTGAATGGGGGAGAGGAGGCCAATGATGCAGAGGAAGAAGAGGAGGAGGTGCAGCAAGTGAGCGAGCGTGCACCGTCACTCCCTTCCCGTACTACGAGTGCTCCACAGATTCGAGCCACACCACAGCAACGCCAAGGCCTTCAAGTCCCTGCAGCTGAGGAGGAAGGAAGGGGGAAGAGGAGAGTTCAACCCCCTAATAGGCTGACCTATGATGCGCCGGGAAAGCAGGGCAAGACAGCCCTGGCCGGAGCGGCAATGATGGTCGGAGACGACGAGGAGAGTGACTACGAGGAGTGTGCCTTCGCGTTCTTCTCTCCGGTGGAGATGCCGGGAGAACCAGCAACTCTCAAGGAGGCTTTGGAGAGTAGTGATGCTGAGGAGTGGAAGAAGGCCATGGAGAGTGAGCTGAAGAGCATCGAGGAGAATGACACGTTTGAATTGGTGGAGCTACCGGAGGGGCGTACGGCGATAACGTCCAAGTGGCTCTTCAAAATCAAGTCGGATGCCGACGGCAAGATCGAGCGCTACAAGTCTAGGCTTGTAGCCAAGGGGTACCAGC